TGTGTGCAGACTACCGTAGCTACGAGAGTCAACCTTGGAAAGAAATGAACAAAGATGCCACCATCTTTCTGCTGTTTCAAAAAGAACAAAAGCACTTCCCTGCGGCTCTCTGTGAGAAGTAGAGTTGAAGACACGACCGGGTCATAGAGTCGAGGGGAAAACACCATGCACGTCTCGTACAACTCAAACCGACTCATCACCAGCAGCGGAGTCAGTTGACGCAAGAACACCAACTCATTGAGCAAGTAATCCCACGGTACACCTTGTAGCTGACGCAAGCCAGCAGCAGCAAGAATAACTCAAAGAACTCCACAGCCGTCAGCATGGCGGAGTGGAAACGGTCGGTTCGGTAAGCTTGAGGATCTGAGAATGGCACACGCATGCGCCAGGTCCCACACGAACGAAGCGAAGACTGCGAGCGAAGAGCGAAGCAGACGGCGACACCCTCCGAACCTCACTGAAACCCCGCAAACCACCCCTAAACGCAACCTCGTAACCCAAACCCCCCCCAAAAAGGGAACCTCACTGGAACCCCGCAAACCACCCCTAAGCCCTAAACGCAACCTGGTAACTGGAAGTTGACAAAAGCGATAGTAAAAAGTAGCAAAATACTCACAGCCGCTCACGGCGCCGTAGCCTTGTTTTTGCATGACGCCTTCAATTTATATACAGCAATTTGATCAGTCCTTTCGCTGTCGCTTGAAAACTGGGCCTGCTCACAATTGTCGTGTGAACTAGTGAAGACTATTGAAGACTGCTATCTTCACCTACTGTTAGGTTGCACTCAAGCACACGTTCCAAACCTCTTTGTTTGATGAATCCAGTCCGCCGGTGAGTATATTGTTTGTGCTTTGCAAACTCGGCACTCAAGCAGGAAAGAGTGAATGATGTTCTTCAAAGAGCAAGCCAACTCTGGCGGCATAACTCAACCAACTTCCGGATGGAACTGAAGCTAAGCTCAGTTCAACAGGTGTGCTTCAAGGTTGAAGGATGCTATGGCACCTTCGACTGCCTAGAATCCAGCTGTAACCATCAGCTCCCGAGGTGCAAGCAACCACTGCAGCCTTATATTAAAGTTAGTTTCGGCATCCCTTGGTGTTCCTGCGATTGAGTTCGGATACACAAAAACATGTTTGATTGGTTTCGGACCTTTCGAATATGTGTTTTCCTGCATTGCACACTCTACCTTAGTTTGTTGCAACGTGTTTTGTCATCGTAAGCTGTAGTGGTTTTGACGTCATCCTCACCGTGTTTCTTTGCTCCAAAATAGCAGATGAACGTGCCGACCCTTCCCCTATATATACATATATATCACGAAAGCCAGCCGACAGGCTGGGCTTGAGGTAGCTGAGCGAACAAAGTGAGTAAAGGGGGTGTGGGGGGGGGTTGGTTACGTGGTGGCTACTTTTTGGAGAGGTGAACCTAGAGCCTGGTCAAGGAGAGCGACAAAAAAAGAGGCGGCCACTTGGTAGTGAAAGATGAGTGGTTTGAGGGGTGTTCTGATGCCGGTGATGTAATTGACGGCCAGTAGTGCATCATTAGCGTCGCGAGGGGCTCAGGAGGCAATGTAAATCGTTTTCTACCAGGGGTGGGAGTTCATGTCAATGATAGGAAAGAGGGGACAACGGGACGAGAAAGGTGGTTGGAGCTGCTCCATGACCAGTGAAATAGACCAGGGGTGAAAGGGAGGTGTGTGTGTGTGTGTGTCTCTTGAGACACTGTGTGATCTGTGAGGAACCAGAATGCTGTGGGCAAGGTGGAAGACAGGCATAGCGTAGGGAAAAGAGGGCTTGCAAGAAATGCTAGAGTCGCTTGGGGGTGCCATTGTTTAATGGTGAAGACGTATACGCAAAAGGGCACCCCATAGGGGGTGCGAGTTCATGTAATGCTGGTTGAGGGCAGGAAAGAGAACACAATGCAGCTGGCACGCTTTGAGTTGCTTGGGGGTGCCCTTTTTTAACGGTGAGGAGGCCTAGTTGCCCTTTTGAGTGGGAGTTCATGTGGACGAGACAGGCATAGCGGAGGAGGACGTGATAGGAAAATGAGGGATTGCAAGAAACGATGTGACCCATTCATTGAGAGGAACAGAATTCAGCCGGCAAGCTTCGAGTTGCTTGGGGGTGCCCTTTTTTATTGGTGAAGAGGCCTGTTGACCAGACGCAAAAGGGCACCCCATATGGAGTGGGAGTTCATGTACAAAGTGGGCATAGCGGGGGAGGAGGTGATAGGAAAGGAGGTGTGGAGCTCACCGGGGCTCTCGCACTCACCCCCCATGACCATATTAATATCTTTTACGGTGGCTGCCTTTCGCCCCCTCCCTTCTCAGGTATATATGGGCGGTGCTAAGTTGCAAGTTCGATCACTATTTGGAATCATACACCTCGTAAAGTCTTACAAACTGTTGCTTGTACTTGTGCCAAGGTTGTGCTGGCAAAATCGGAAGCTTCTGATGACGTCTTTCTGAACTTCAGGTCTGAAGTCTATGCACTTGCTGAGAATGTTTCGGTCCCTGTACCTTCCCTTGATCTAGAAATTCCTTTGTGATCCCTTCAGCTCTTCGATCCTGGCCTTGTTTGCCATCCGCTCCTTATTCTTTGTGGTCAGGCCGGAAGTTAGACATTTCTTGCTTTCCAAGCTATACCAAGTCAGGGGTCTTGATACCAAGAACTGGATCAAACTCCTTCTTTTGAGTGATTGGCACGGATATTGTTGAATCTTGATCAGCTTCTGGCAGAATTCAGGGACTTCTTCACACTTTCGACTGTTACTCGTTCAACTTTGGCACTTGCTGGGGGCTCATTTTGCTAGCACCTTTGTCAAGATGAGAACGTTCAAATCCGCAAGGTCTTGCTCCTGATGGGGTTGGAAATGCTGACGGGGCCAGCAGTTTACGTGCTGCCCTGACTTCTGCAGCTTTTTGCAAGATGATTGTTGTTTAGAGCCGGACACCTCTCAGAGGAATTGTGTATGCTACAGCGTATTATATATACGTGTATACAAGCCATCTATACTAATTAAATCTATACTGTATCTTACACAAAGGTAGGGCTGGGAGAGCTTTTCAAGTACAGGTACCCTGAGACTCACACCACTTGTGTGTATGTGTACACACATGCGAGGCATGTGTACAACCGGACTCAGCTAGTTTCCATGGAACAAACATATATACTGTATTACATTTATGTAAATTGTGGTCTGGGCTACAGTGGTCTGAGGCCCATACAAATTGTTGTTTTTGCCAGGGATGAGCAATTCGGTGGCAAACTGCAGCCCTGTTCTTGTCTATGCTGGCAGGGTGCGTGCTTTCTCCTTTCTTTTGTACATAAGATGTTCATGAAAGTCGGGCAACCGGAATTCCCAGTGCAAATAGCATTTGAAGGGGCTCTGAGTTCATTCTTGCAAAGCAAGGGTCGGATGCATCATAACTCGTAACGTCCTATGTATGAGCCTCCAGTTCACCTTGCTGTACCACACAGAATACATCGCAGCAAGCACTACGGTGCACTACGTGCTGACTGATTTTGACCTGTCAATGAACGCTTTCTAGACACGAATCCGTCTCAACTTGCTGCAAGTTCTAATTTGTTTAACCTGCAGGGTATTTGCTTGAAAGTGTAGTTTTTGAATACTGTAACTCATCAGAGTTGCAGAGCTTGTGCACACTGTGAACACTTTCAGTGCAGGGACCCATCCGAACAGCTTGTAAAAGCAGTGCCTAACCAAGCCGTTGGACATATTTGTTTGCACACTCAGTGTGTTTGGCCTCCGTTGGCCAGGACAAGCTTTGCCACCTGAATAAACCTGAATAGAAGCGTGAGTTCCTGCATCCAGATACTAGGAGCTTACTTAAGCTACAAGTTGAGTTTCCCTAAACATCTAGGAACAAAATCATTAGCGCACGCTTCTTCAAGGAAGCTCCCCCCGCCCTCGGGTGGGGAGAGCTTCCCTGAAGAAGTTTGAGCTATCCTGCGTCCTAGCTAGGAGCGAACTTCTCCCTTAATTAAGTAGGTGCCTACTTAATCAAGGAGGCAGGGCCGGCTAAACAAAAAGGAATTGTCCAGAAAGCGGCCTGCCTTGCCCCCTCTTTCCTTACAGAACCCGAGCTCGGGCAAAACTATTCCCACGTCTCGTTCATCTCGCATGCTCACTTGTTCGCCCACTCGCATATTCACCCGTGCGCTGTGACACAAGCATGTCTTTCACCAGCTATGTTAGATTCAGTTTATAGATTCAATTTAGTTTAGGTGTTCTTTTCATTTTGCTAACTGTGCGCAATGTCAACGTAGACCACAGCCTAGATGTGGAACATCATCATTAGCATCAGAGAGTGTACACTTGACTTGCGCGCAGCCCTCTTGGATTCAGAAAAAAGTTCGCATGGTAGCGGAGCAGGGATAAGGGTAACCCCCTTCGAGCTCCAGAGAAAAAGCCCCCAGGTCACAGGGATCCGGGTGCGATTTCGAGCCATAGATTTGGGGCCTTTGGAACCCAAACAGCTGGACTGGTGAAGGTGAATTGGAGTTCAGCACTGCAAGATGCGCAGAGGAACCGTATCCCCAGTGGGGGTGTGTAAAATCTTGAAATTTGCTTGTGTGACCTTGATAGACGTGAAGTTCCAGTTCAAAGGTGAATCAGCCCATACTTTGCCATGGAAGACCGATGGAGCATGGCTGGGGAATCAATAGCCGAGAGCAAATGTTGGAGACTGGTGACTTGAAGGTACCACTCAACCTGCAAAATCGCTCTTTGATGACAGTTCAAGGCCGCATTAGAGTCATTCGAGATGGAGATGAAAGCTGCTTGGAGGTGCAAGTACCTGAAGCTTTCGAGAAGGCGGAAGGTTGGAGATTCAATGAGCATGGACTGCTAGTTGGAAGCTTATTGACTTCAAGATTCGTGGACCCCACAGTCATTCCAGAAGTGGAAGAGTCACCAGAGTTGATGAGAACCACTTTGGTGAAAAGAGGAGGTAGATGGCCAGTGCATGAATATTGTGAGAGCATGATGAAAAAGGAGGAACTTGATGAGCACTGCTTTGATGATGATGCAGTCACTCCTTCAACCGCAATCTTCAGCTATGAGCCAGCGCCACCAGAAGATATGATTCTTTGCACCAGGATACAAGAAGCTTGAAAACAGAGAAGTGAGAACGAAAGAAGTGGAGCAGGCAATCGAAGAGATTACCCCTACTCCACCGGAGAAGGAGGTAGAAGACAAGAAAGAATCGGAACAGAAAGATGAAGACCTTGAAGGTGAACTACAATTGAGCCCAATGGATGTAGACAAAGCCTTGGTGAATGGAATAGAGTTGACTAAGGGTTCTTCTTTAGCAACTTTGAGGGCAGCATGTTCATTTGTGGCTCTAAGCTAAAGGTCTACACGAAGATCCTCAGCCACAACAAAAAGATGGAACTCTTGAATGCCAAACGCTTGGTGAGTGACGCAAAAGCTCAAGAGACGAGAGAAGCACTAGGACAAAGCGTTGCAAAAAATGCCAGATGAAGCCACTCAGGCAAGGCACAGGTTGACGCATATGCCATATGCCAAATGGTGTAAGGAGTGCGTTGAACGTCCAGCGCGTCCAGATCGCCATGAGAGAACAGATGGAGTAAAGAGAGGAAGTATACCTGAAGTGAGCTTTGACTTTTTCTACGCAAGAGCAAGAGATTGAGAGACAAAGTCAGCAAGGGCAGTTTTTTTAGTTGCAGTTGACAGCCAAACTGGATACATCCATGTTGTGCCATTAGGAAGCAAGAACCAATTTTGTCTCATCGGGCAAGAGTTGATTCGATGAATTTCAGTCAGTTGTGGGGGTATTCAGCAATCACCTACAGGAGTGACAATGAGCCCACAGCAAGACAGATCCTCAAGATGCTGATCAGTGCTCGCCACATTTTAGGACTTACTACAAGATTGATTACTTCAAAGCTGGGAGATCATGCAGAAAGCTTGCAGGAAGTTTCATTGAAGGTGTGCAGTCAATATTCGGTATCAAAATAGGACCAGATCATGCACTTTGGACTTGGGCAGCAAGACATGCCAGTTGGGTGCTGAATAGCTTTCAGCCAGTCAAGGGTGCAACTCCCTGTGCGCTCGTTGCAAAGGACTTTTTGCTGAATACGGTGAACCAGTTCGTGGTTGCGTCAAGAGTCTCAACAAAGGAGAAGCAGGATGGTATCCATGCAAGACACCTATGTGTTGACAGATGGTGTGCAGGTAGTGCTAAGCAAGTGCATCAGAAGAACAGAACAGGATTGGTCCAATGACTTACCAATCTACAAAGGCTTCAATGCATATTCATGGGAATGTCAGACAAGCTTTGGAGGCAGAATCATTGCCGCAGAGAGGAGAGCAGAAGCATTGCCAGCAGCGCAAACAGACATTCCTCGAGAACGCGTGATGTTGAAGTTCAAGAATGAAGACGCAGAGGCAGCTATGGCAAAAGCTCCAGAAGGAGGAAGTGGTTGAGAGAAAGAAGAGGCATTGTTCCCAGAACCAATGCCGATTCCAGCCCCGCTGGAGCCCTCTCTGTAAGCAATGAAAAGAGATGTAGGTGGAAGAAGGCGAGGTGGAGAAGAAACGCCAAGTAAGAAGCAGAAAGTTCTCTTTGCAGATAAAAGAACACTTGAGAAGGTGAAAGCGTTCCCATCTACATCATTCCCAGCAGGACAACCCAATCCAGTTACTCCTATACTATCTTCATTGAGATCACCATCAGTGCCTTCAAGACCAAGGGAAGCCTTTTGAGTTGCTTGAGGAAGAAGGTCCAATGAAGAAGCTCAGGCCATCAGACGGTTCAAGCAAGAAAGCCAAGATCAATTTGGTAAAAGTTGCAGGTGAAAATCTTTATCGTGTAGATGATGAGCTATCCCAGTTGCAGAAGAAGTTGATGAAGAGGACAGGGAAGAAGAAGGGGTTGAGGAAGGAGATGCAGTCAACGGACCTGAATGCTTATGGCGTGATGAAGAACATGAACCAGAAGGGGGCCCAGAAGAAAGGATAGACAGGGTAGCTGATGAAGTGGAAGAAAAAGGATTCCAGTAGATGGAAGTGCCAGAGAGACCAGAAGGCAGCGCAGAAGGAATCAGTTTCTTGACAGCGCGCAATGTGTATGACTAGAGAAAGAAACCATTCCACCGTGAAGATGGAACGACAGCCAAGAGGCGGAAGAGAAGATCAAGACTAGTTGCGAGAGAATTTGCTTTTGCTGAAGGAAAGAGAGATGACATTTTCCCACCAGCGACTTCAGGACATGTACTGAAGCTTCTGCCCACAAACTTCTTGCAGAGAGTCAGTGAGGAGGAAGAAGCAAGAGAGGGAGGAGGAGCATTTTCCCAGATGCTTGGATGTCTCGATGTGACAGATGCAGTTTTGCAAGTTCCACAAGAGAAGCCATTGAATCTAAACTTGAGAGGAAAAGAATTCTTGGTGAAGAGAAATTTTCCTGGACAAAAAGTTGGAGCAAAAGCGTGGTTTGACTTTTTCACAGAGTACTTCACCGAGGAACTCAATTACAAGTTCAGTGCTGAGTGTCCACGCCTGGGAAGACATGAAAAGAGTATCATTTTGACCCATGTGGATGACTTGATTTTCACAGATGGTTCACAGTACATTAATGAAATCGTTCTTCCAAAGGTTCAAGACACCTCTGACACTAGAGAAAGATGGACTATGGATTCAGCCAGGTAACTACATCCAGCAGATGCTGAAAGCCTATGAAGAGCAGATTGGAAAGATCAAGCCCCAACAACTACCGTCAGGCAACTCACTTCAGGTGAAAGACAAATCCGAAGTTTTGCGTGCGCAAGAGAAGATTAGCCTATTCAGAAGCATTGTTGGATCAGGTATCTACTTATGCCAAGAGAGGTATGATGCAGCGTTTACAGTGAAGGGATTGGCTTCAAGAACAACAGCTATGTCATTTCACCATTTGAAAAAGTTCTTAGGAGACTTGAAGAAGACCTTGGGCGATTGTCGAGTAGTTGATTATCCACAAGCAGGAGAAGGCTATGTGAAGGAAAGCTATTGGTGCTTGGAAACATTGTCAGACTGGAGTGGCAACAAAAGCCACAGACAGTCAAAATCAGGAGGATTTCATGCATTGAGCAGTTGTCCATTGTTCAACAGCAGCAGGACACAGAAGATCATTATTAGCTTATCTTCATGCGAAGCAGAGTTGCGCGCAATAGTATCTTCAGCGTCATATGGTATCTACATTCGCTCAATTCTTGATTTCTTCGCGCTTGGGACAAAGGTGGACCATCGTATCTTCACCAACTTGTGATGAAGAGAGGAGTTGGAAAGGTGAGGCATATGGGCAGACATCAATACAACGCCACTTGGAGGACAAAGAATCAGATACTTGGTGAACCTCATTGGGTATTGGCACAGTGAAGAGCAAACAAGAGTAGGTGAGCGTGAGAGAAAGGTGTATGAGGAGAAAAAGAACTTGGCAGGAAAGGTCAACAAGATTGCCAAGATGATTGTGAGAATGGTAGCATTTGAGGGCTTACAGCCAATGGCTACAGAAGCATTAATGAAAGAAAAAGAAGACAATCAGTGTGGAAGAATCCAATGAAAGCTGGAAGATTTTGACGTGGAGTGCATCATGGCCACCAAGCATGACCTTCCTTGTCACCTTCCGCATCCATACTGTTCCGGAGGCCAAATCCATGATCTTCTTGATGTGACACGGACGGCCGGTCCCAGCGTGGCGTTCGTTGCTTGGTTGGACGGACGAGCGAGGCCCCGTAAGCCAGCCTGTTCGGCGCTCAGTCAGTCAAAGGGGCTTCGTGCCCATGACCGCCATTTCTTTGGCGTTCTTCTGCCAGCCCTCCCCAAGAGTTCACCCTCATTGCACTGCCATCGCCTTGAAGTGCGACTTGGCACTGGGCTCCATCAAAGCATGCTGGCACTCCGATAGGCGCAGCGCTTGAGCGACCCATCAAGAGAGAGCTTGTCAGTGGAGGGTGGACGCCCCGGGTGGCTGCCGGGCAGCCACAGCTCACAGCCGGCAGATGCCCACTCTCATGGAGCGTGGTCGATGACGCGTCGATAGGATGAAATCATTCCTCCGTGCACAGGCAGCTCAGTCAACTAGCTGTTGGGGGCGATGAGTCGACATGAAGCCGCGAGAGTCATTGACATCGGTTGGCTGACCACAATGGGGTAGGTTTCATGTTTTCGGCGGGCGCTTTGAGCCCTCGCTTACACATTTTCAGTCGACTGCTTAGCACTCATTGTGTTTTTCCCCAGATAGCGAAGCTATGGGGTTCTTACTTCAAACAACAATGAGTTGCCCCTGTGCGCTTTCGAGACAGGTTGCTGGTGCTGGGTGCCGGCGCTGGTGCTGTGAGCCGCTGTGGTGGAGACAGGGCGACGCAGTGCTGGTGCTGGGCGGTGCTGGGTGCTGGTGCTGGACGCCGTGAGCTGGCGCGCCGGTGCTCGGCGCTGGTGCCCGCTTCTGACAGTGAAGTGATAATAACCGCCGCTTCTGACAGTGAAGTTTAACAAACGGGCGCTTGCAGCAGTGAAGGGCGACCAAGCGCCGCTTCTGACAATGAAGTGCCAGAAGTCACGGGCCGCATGAACTTATGCGCGCAACATCATACGGTGTTGTCGCTTGATCGTTCTTTGTCTACTAGCGCTGTGGGGTATTTACATTCTTCAGGTTTGTTCTGGCCGACAACTGTGTCAAGGGCGCTGTTTGCGCGCACACTTTTGTACGTATAATGTTCTATGCGCAGCGTCAGGCTCTCAACCGACCATTGTTTCAGCATGTTTCAGCATGCTACATTAGCGGCGCAAGATCATGCGGCCTTATCGTTCTGCAGATCGTTGCTTCAAGCGTGCTACAAAGTCAATAGTGGAGCTGGATATTGCTTGGCCTTGGGCCAATGACACTTTGCTGTTTGCGCGCATACTTTTGTGCGCATAAACTTATACGCGCAAGATCATACGTTGTTACTCCCCAAATAGGGGTAGCTATGGGGTTCTTGCTGCAAATAAGAATGAGCTGGCTGCGCGCGCTTTCGAAAGGGTGTCGGTGCTGGTGCTGGTGTTGTGGTCCTGGGCGCTGGTGCTGTGAGCTGGCTGAGCGCACGTTTAAGACGGGCGGCGGCGCTGGTCGGGTGCTGGCGCCGCTGCCGGTGTTGTCAGCTGGCAAAGCGCACCGGTGCTGGTGTCAGCTGATTGTGCGCGCTGTGGAGGCGCCGTAAGCTGGCTGCGCAGGCTGCGTAGTCGCATGTCAACAGGTCGTGGGATTCTGCCTAGCTATCTGGGTCTATGCTGGTGTAATTTACTTTCCTTGTTTGTTTTGACGCTGTTGATCCCACAGTGCCTCAGTATCGTGATGGTGATCACCTCATAATATAGGTTCCTCTGAATTTAGGTCCGCGCCCATACCGTGTCAGCTGGTCAGCTTGAAAAACCTTTTGAACTGTGTCCACGTAAGTTGCTTTGTTGCTGCTGCTGCCTTCTGTGGGGAAGGCGTATGGGGAAGGCATAGCCTTGTGCTCATTTTGCCGCAGTGGCCCTGCTCCAGAATTGATTTTACACTTTCCAAACTCGCTAGCCCCTCCAGAAACAATGAACGTGAATCAAGGGATAGTGGGACGTTTGTTTTGTTTCAAAGGACGGTTTTCAGCGTTCCAGCAACTCTGATTTTCACAGACCTTGCCAACTTTATCTTGGCTGCAAGATCTGGACTGGAGGTGAATGCCTTTGCCTCCTGTGTTGTATTTGCCAGCATGTTGGCAACTGCGCTCAGATGTTACCATGATGGAATGAGAGAAAAATACATTTGCTGCACCAGTCAAAACACGGAACAACACCAAAGACAAATTCATTGTTACTTTGTGCTGGACTACACGTTCGTTCTATGCCGAGGCTCTTTCTGTTGGCGTTTCAACTTTGCAGCAGTCTCATGCAAAGTTGCCTTTTTCAGCCCTACATTGACAATTTGGAACAAGACAAAAAGGTGCCTGTGCACGTTTTGTGTGTTTGATTTCCTTGCAGTTTGTAAATGAGCCAATCGAATTGTCGTGCAAATGCTCATGAGATCATACGCTGGATTGAGGTGATTAGACATCTCTCCCGTGGCTTAATAACAGCTCCAAACCCAAGCAATCAAAACTTTGAGAGAAGCAACAATCAGGAACGACTGACCATTTCTTGCCAAAGAGTGAACATCGGGTGCTGTTATCGTCTCAAGGTTTAGACTTAAACTAGAAACATATACATATACTTGTTGTGACCGCATTTTGCGCGAAGGACTAGCTGAGCATGATGCCGTGCATGACAGCTTCGTTAATCTAAGACGATTGGGACTTGGGACCTTTTCCAACGGAACGGGCACATCATGGAATCCAGGATGGCTTCTGCATGTCCTGTTGGTGTCAATCCGCATGTCCCCGGCTTCCCTTTGTGGGATCGGCACAGAAGGCAACGCGTGAGTGTCGGGTCGACTTCTGCCCTTCCTCTACGTCAGGGTGTACCCCGTTTACTCCCTGGCGTGCACCCTTTTGCCCTCGTGTCAACTCTGCCATTTCTGGCCAAGCGGAGCAGAAAAACTATTTGCAATGCTGGACCTCGTGTGGCTGTAATCGGTGCAGGGCCGGCAGGCCTGGCCTCAGCAGTGGCTTTGCGCAGAGAGTGTCCAGATGTTGATGTGATGGTCTACGAGCGCTCTCCAGAATTACGGTTCCCCAGCTGATTTGATTTTTGGATCTTCCATGATCTTCCGATAAGTTGTGGCATGGAGCTTTTTGAGGCCTGGTGTGGGTGGTGGTGTTCAGCTACATTCAGGGGCAGCATTGCTTCAAGATCTTGGAGTAGATTTGAACTTTGCCCAAGCAATGCGGCGCATCCGGAGCAGAGCAGTGGATGGCTCGGAGTTGCTCAAACTGGACCTAGTGAAACTGTTGGCATCACGGCTTCAGACAGGAATTGCACTGCTTAAACATTCTTTTGTAGCTGCAGTGCAATGCAGAAACACTAGATTTATTGACGGTATCATCAAATTCTGCAACACGATTCAACATAGTTAATAATTACTCAGGTTGCTCATTTGGGATTTGTTGCATGTTTGAGGACTCGTTCAAACCTTTTGTTGGCTCTGTACGTCGACCAAATGGGGAGCCAGCCAGCTGCACAGTGCCATGCCACTTAAAATTGCCGGCATTGCCGTGTAGATTGATTTCTTTGTTCTATTTACCTTTTTAATTCGTATGCATAGAAAGTAGTTATATAAACCTATTTTAAATGAAATGAGCAGTGTGCAGTCCGTCACACGTGAGCAGCATTGGCTCCCTCTCTTGGCGAGGCGTCATGTTTTCCAAACCAACTCTTGCTGGCAGAGCGTACCAACCGGGCACGCTGTGAGGTCATGCGTGATGCGCTGCTGAGAGCAATTGCAGATCAGTTGCCAGTGGAGTCCATCTCATTGGGCATGGAGCTAAAAGATATCCAAGCGAAGCAAGAACCTGGAAGAGTGAACCCTGACTTTGCAAGAGTGAACCTTTCCATGAGTGTGACTTGCACTGTGATCATCTCAGACCTTTTTGCAATTCATGATGTTAGGTAGATCCAGGCAGACTCATATTTTTACTGTCAGGACTTGCCATTTTGCAGATTCCACCAAGCAGGACGGTGGATTGGTGCATTTGCCTCTTACAGCCAGGTTCAAGTCAAGTCAAGTCATGCCTTAGGTGCCTGTGTTGCCCTCAAGCGGTTGGTGTCTCCGAGCTTTCTTTGTCGAACTTACACCCGGGAAGATTAGCATGGAATCTGAACATGGACCTTTGGAAGACTAGCTAGCTTCCTTCCTCCATCAACCAGAGGTTTTCGGGTTCCATGTTAATCTTCCAGGGCGTACTTGAACGCAATGTAGCTTTTGCTTTTAGCTTGATTTTGGAGGACTTTGATTTGGTAATTGCGGCTGATGGCATTGGTAGTCTTGCACGTGGTGTAGTCCTGCAGGAAGATGAAGAACCGCGATACACAGGCATTGTCCCACCCGCTGATAGTCCGTAGGTGCTAAATTGAATGAGCCAGGCCAGACCCATATTCCCTAGTCCCAAATTGCACCAATTGCGTATTGTGACTTGAAAACACTCATCCAAATTCTGCATCTTTGGAATCACATTGGATTTGGGGGGAGGATGTGGAGTTTCTAAAATTGGTTGAAACAAGGTGCGATTTGCATTTAAGTCATATTTTGCTGTTTGGCCAGTTGAGCTTAAAGCACACGGCTGACATCACTGGCATTTCGGAGTGATGTGAGGACTTCGAATTCAATACGGTGTCAGAGAAGCTGGAGGAAGACCAACAGCTTGTGAGGAGGAGGTTCACCAATGGTTTGGACAAGGTGCCTGTGTGCGAACCAGCAGGAAGGATGTCGCTGCAAGTACATTCAAGACCGGGCACAGGGAGAGATGGTGACAGCAAAGGTGCAGTGATGCAAAGTCCATGGCTACTGTTGTGGTGACTGCTGGTAAGTATATACCATTATATACCTAGGGTGGAGGCCATCGCTATTAGGTTCCTTAAAGTAGGACCAGGCTTTCGGGGCCCTCCTCACAAAAGCTTTACGTGACTTCACCTTGAACCCTTATACTTTGGAGGTCTTGCAAGCCTGCTGCATTTGCTTTGTGTTGTTTCATCCAATGTTACCTTTACCATGTTCAGATCATCGTTTCGGAATGGCTCTGGGTTTGTGGATGTCTCGGGTTTCTTCAGAGTCCATGGAGTTTAGTCGGCTTCTAGAGGTTTGGCCATGGAACCTTTGCCAGGTGTTTATGCACTGACAGCAACCTATGGTGGTTTGGATGGCAAAATGTTTGAAATGCTTGCTGTGGTTTTTAGAGATGATGCTCCAGTGGCAGAGAATCCAAACTGGAATCCTGTAGAAGTCAAGGAGCCTAACTTGCTTGTGTTTTTTGTGGTTTGAAACGCAACGTTGGGCCTTGTACTGTTCTGGAACCTGGCAGAATTTCAAGAACCCTAACCAAACAAGTTCTCCCAGATTCCTACCTTCCTGTTGTTTTTTGTGCAGGACAACTGCTTGGAGCGACTTCGTGCAGCAGGTCACCGTGATGAGGTTTTGGAACTGGCGAAGAGCTGCAGCCGCTTCTTCGAGCTCGGAGTTTGTGAAAGGCGAAGCCAGTGAAGCCGGTAAAGCTTGAAATCAAACGCCAAGAAATATCAATAAATCCTACAGTAAATGCCGTATAACAAATGCGTTGTTTCATTTCTTGCAGCTTGATCCTGAACTTGATCCTATCCTATTTGATCCCGGATCCAAACACAAACTGATTAAGCCATTGCGACTAAGACACTGCAATCTGGGAGGCCATTGGGACTCAATCGATGGCATCGAGATCGAGTGGTGCTAGTAGGGGATTCAGCCCACGCTATGCCGCCATTTCTGGGGCAGGGAGCAAACCAAGGCATTCAAGATGCAGTTTGCCTTGCCAGCGAATCAGCCGCAATTTCTGTGAAGAAAAGCAAGTTTGTAGGCTCTACAGACTTCCTCTACAATCTTATGTTGCAACGTTTCACCTGCTTGTGAGTCTGTAGAAGCATTGTTCACGGACACGAGGTGAGCTTCGTAACAGTGGTTTTGCAGATTTTCGAAGTGATGAAACTACTGAGCTATCCTCTGGAAGTGCTGCCCGCATGGACTCTGCAATTGAATCTGCCCTTTCTCGTTATACTGCTAAGCGCCTGCCACCGGTCGCGCCTCGCATTGAATTGATCAGCAATGTTTCTTTTTGCTGGCAGGTATAGGCAGTTCTTCCTTCAACCAAACTTCAACAAAGTACTACAGTTCCTCTGGTTCTGTTGGATCACTTTTTTCCCGCGCATCAGCATGATTCTGCAGGCTTTGCTGGGGCTGGAAAGCAACTTTCTGGGACAAGTAGAGAAGCTCAGTGTGCATTTCAGTGATTTATCTAAGCATGTTTGATGTCTGATCGGTTTTTGTATTGTCGTTGCCGGAAAGAGTGCCATGGTGGTAGGGACAAGGATGGTACATGTATTTTGGAACTCGTTCAATCTCTCCTTTAGACCCTCAGCTATAAATGCGCTTGAAAGGACTTTGCCTGGAGCAGTTGGCGCCTTCATTCGTGATAACTTCTTCCGGGCGACTGGACGCAGCGGTGTCGCAGGCAGTTGGGTTGTGGATTTTTTGTGCAAGCTAAATTTCAGCTGTCAACTTGCAAGTTGCGAGGCTTGGTATTTCTGAATGGCGCCATTGCACGTGTCTGAGAAATCGTGGGCTTGATGCATTGCTCCAAAGCGGATGGCGAGAAAGGCTAAATTGCACGTGAGTTGGCAAGACCGATTGAGGGACATTACAACCCTTTTGAAGAGTTAAGGGAGGGATGAAAAGTTCTGCCGGTACTGTAGAAACACATTTTGATACTCTTTGATACATTTTTTGACATTTGCTCGGAGCTTGTGTAGAGCAAGCAATGTGTTGTTGATATAGTTGCCAAAATGGCCATGACATTTTGGCTCAAGCTGTGTCTCTGTGAGACTGAGATTCGATAAGTGTTTGCGACCTCCCAGATTTTCTTGCGAACCTTTTTCTGCAAAGGCTTCTACTTCATGTACACCTGCGGCTGAGCCGACCGCTGATTGGGTGGACGTTGTGATGCAAGAGACTCCTCTGGACGAGGAGATTGCGACCGAGAAGTCCTTTGCCATGCTCGAGCAGGTCAATGGCGTGGAGGTGGATTCAGCCCTCGCTTTTGCTGCCACTACGGCCCTATGGGAGCTCCTGGAGCCACCCCAGCCCAACACCACCTGGCACCTCCTGAAAGCCGATGTTACCAAAGCCCACCGGCGTATGAGATCCCCCCCAGAATGGAAATACCAGATTGCTCAGATCGATGGTGACCGGTGGGTGAACATGGTGGGCAGCTATGGCATGACTAGCGCCCAGCTCACTGGGGGTGCATTGCTGTCCTCCTACTTAGGCTTTGCTACTATGTCTTTCCTGAGATTGATTGGGGCTTCATCTTTGTGGATGACTTTTTCTGGATCCTCAGTTGACGACCTCAGTCCTGCTTTTGTATTGGCGGTGGGCTGTCCACTGCCCTCTCAGAGGTCAACCTCTGGTTAGGGTTTCTGGTCAACCCGGCCGGGCCAATTGCGCAAATGGCGCCGGAGAAGCGTGAGATTGTCATGAACCTGCTCGCTGCAGTGGCCGACGGGCAACGATTCACCAAGAAAGAAGTTGAACAGATGCTGACAAGACTTAACTGGGCCACGAACGCAATTTTCCTGGCCCATTCTTTCCTTCAAACCATTTGGACTTGGTTCATGTCCCTGGAGAGCAGTGGCGTCCCAAGCCGTCTGCGGATGATTGCCAACCTCCTGATGGCCTTGTTTTCTACTGACTACAAACAGGCCTCACCTTACAACTGGTGGGGCGCTAGTGATGCAAGCAAGTGCCAGCAAAGGCGGTGATGCCTATGTCCGCAGATGGCTCACCAACAAAGATGTTCGCGAGAAACGTGATGCTTGGTGGTTCCAACTTAAGATTGAGGAGCCTACCCATCCTTGGGCTTTCAAGGATGGGGATCCCACACCCCTGTTGAGCGCCCAGGGAGGTGCGGACCTGAGATGTTCCTGTATCAGTGTGATTTCTGACACCGGGGGAACATTTTTTGGGTACTGCGTCAAGATACATGAGCGGCCTGCAATGCAACTGGCCCCTCTCCACTTGACGAGAGAGTGCAACCAATGGGCTCAACCAGGCAAAGAAGTTGGTTGTCTCCGCTGACCTGCAAATTTTCTCCTTCAACGGAAGATTCTAAACGAATCTTTTTTCTCCCAAGAAGCATCCGCCTTGGTATTTCCACTACAAAATCGGTCATGATTCCATCACAGAACAAACATTCTTTTACAAAGAATGATCTGTTCATGTTGGACGTGGCATGTCGGAGAGTCTGAATTTGTAGAGAACACTGGAAATTACGAGCCTCGATTCTATAGAGAATTAGTGTGTATGAACACATGTCTTGGCAAGGTCAAGAATTCGGATTTTCTGATTTTATAGTCAAGCAATGATTGAACTTTACATTTCAAGGGTCTCAATTCTATAGATTTTGTATTTGCGGATGGTTTCTGTGTCTTTCCAAGGTCACATGCCTGATGCTGGACATGTGATTGCTCAATGATCATGTTGAAGTACTATAGAATTGTGGTAGCTTTCATGCAGGAATAGGTTGCTAGAGGTCCTGTTTCCAGCGTAGTCAGATTTTGCAACCCTACCCAATAATTGAAAAACAGTTTGAAAGTACCTTGTGCCCTATGATTCTATAGTGTTTGTATTTGCTATGTCTACCTGTTTTCCATGTGCCCAACCCAATTCTATAGAGCTGGCCATGATTTTCAGTCTCACATCCTCAATTCTATAGAGCTCAAAATGCAGCCTCTCATTTTGGATGTCATATGCAGCATTTTAAAACTACAAAATCGGTGTCCCCCCCACTTAATTCCAAGGGGGATCAAGAAGCGACGCAGAGTCACGTGAATATCCCTTTCATGGTCCTTTCTGAAAATGATCGCGGTGATCGCGGCTGCAGACAGGTAGGCAGTTGTGGCTGGCCTGCTCCTGGTGACCATGCCGGGGCGGCTGTGATTGAGCTGACCCACCTCCCTGCTTTTGATGAAATGAAGATCCACATGCCAGGAAACCAGTGGTGGATCGTTCTGTGAGAGCAGACCTGCAGCAGCCGCGCCGGGCACCTCATTTGCGAGCGAAAAGAGGCGTGCCTAGTGCTGCAGAGTGAGGTCTGGTAGTCGAAAATCCAAATCAAGAACATTTCCGACTTCCTTCGGCGCATGTTTGCATGGACTGATGTTTAGGCACTGCTTTCACAAGTTTGGTTTTATGTTCCCGTCCAGTTTGGCCCAGAGTTGAATTCCTGTCTTTGGGTAGAAGCCCGAAGCCCACAACGCTGCGGTCTGATGGAGTTGCCGTGCATGTCCTTGAGTTCGATACGCAATCTGCGAGGCCATTGAGTGCTTTGTTTTTGAGTGTCTAAAGCGGTGATTCCGCAGCGTTTTCGGAGATTCGATGAGACGTCAGAGATTTTGTTTCACATGGGTCAGAGATGTGAGTGTCTAGCTTGACATGTCAAAAGTGTCACAGCATGATGCACAACAATCGCTTTTAGGTTGGAGGACCATTGCTCGTAGATTCCTTTTAGATCCTTTTAGGCACTTATGTTTTGTGTGTCAGGGTCTCAAGTCTTGGCTCCCAGCTCTTCGTATGCAACTCCAAAGGATGTCCGAGGCTGGTCCAGTGAAAGTGGCCGGGGCTATATGTGCAGTCAGGTCTGTCAAAACAGTCTTTAGGATTGGACGGCCGCCTGAGAGGTTGTACGCAACGTGGGGAACTTAGCGCTGTTTTGCGCATTTTTTCACCTTCTCTCATTTATGTGGAAGTGATGATTGAGGCTCGACCGTTTTGCTACTGGTTGCCAGCCAGGCTTTGTTGGATTTCCACCATGACTTGGGTCGTGGGTTGAAGATGAACCAAACACATGGAACAAACCGTGGGGTCATCCAACAGTACTAATTCTTACACGGTAGGCTCTGCCTCCCGTAATCATTGGAGATACTAGAGACTAGGAGTTGCAGAAACCTAAACACACATATTTTGATGTGGGTGTGTGTTTGATACTTTTGTCAGTTTGACTTGAAGTTTATTTCTTGGTCTCAGGCCATTCACAGACGTCGAGGCTTGGAGAATTGAGTGACAGTGAAGAGACTTTACAGTCTAAATGCTGGGCTGCCTGGCACTTGATCTGAAAGGCTTCATGCGGCGCCTGGCGAAGGCTCGGCGGATTGTTTCTACTTTACTCAATTAAGTAAGGGCGGGCTTGACACCCAAACAGTTGACATTAGTTTTTTTTGAACTTGTTCATTTTGAAAAATACCTTCAAGTGAGCCTTGACTCTTTTGGTGACAGGATGCAAGTGATCTGAGCGATGGTCGTAACAGCACACCAAGCCGTGGGAAACTCATCATGCAGGAGCTCATGAATAGCTGTTTCTTCATTCTGATTGGCGTTGCCAGGTTAACAGTCCTGAGATTGATATAATTGATTGATGACACTTTCATTTTCAGTGTTATGGTCGGTAGATCAATATCATTCCAACCAGTGCTTGACGTAGCACCGTTTTGCCACAAAAATGGGTCTGTCTGCCTTTTAAATTAGGCAGGCTATTGCCGCTTTGCATCTTAGGTGATGCTTAGCGACTTCTAGCTCCATGAACATACATGAAACGATGACACACTGAATCTGATTTTGCTGCTCCTTCGTTCTCAAGTGCATGTATGTGTATGTTTCAGGGTCTTTCTGACGTGGTCCAGTCTTTCGCTCTCCTCTCCGACCTATCTACTCGGGTGGCACGTCGTTTGCATCACTCTCCAAGCTGCTTTCCCAGTTCCTGGCTGGTTTCTGGCTGGAGTCTCTCTTGGCTTTCTCCTGGCCCTTCTCGTTGATTTCTGGTCGTGGTGGCTGACGCATCCCTGGGCACTATTGGCGGGCATTTGACTGGCGATGAGGTTGCTGGTTACCTCACGACCACCAGTAGATGCAAAGCACGAACGCGTACACGGTGGGTTCACCAGCAGGACAGCAAGTGCTGGAAGCCTCACTACATGGCTTTGAAGCTGTGGTGGAAATACAGGAAGCAACATGTAGTCCAAGACTTAGAACCGCGCCGCAAAGATATGCGTTCAAAGGGCCGGACAAACAGCGCCCTCAAGACTGGGGAAGTTATGTTGCAGAATGCTGGTGAAATACAAACCTTGTCCGCCTTGTCCTTGACCCTGACAAGATTATCCAGGTCCTGGATGTGTTCAGACCTTGTGGCTGCAGGAGCTATGGGAACTACCTGTGGGAGGCCGAGGAGCAGCTGTCCACCTGATCTACGGTTAGCTGCCAGACGCATTACACGAAGCGCAGTCATATGTACCTTCACCTCTTCAAAACCCTTGCTGCTGATGGGAGGACTTGGTCGCGCTTAAGCTACCTGGCATCAAGTCAGACCCTTTGACTTCTACCAGTGTTGAGAGGACGTTTGGCCGTTTGTGTGGCACACGCGCCCGGGCCGGATCCCCCTACCACGGTGCGGTCGCACACATAAATGCGGACCTTGAAGATTTTAAGATGCGACGACAAGGTTCCAGCCAACCTTCCCTTCTCTCCTCGACTGGACTGGAAAAGCATACAAAGTGATTGGGGGTTTAGACAGGCCCGGCTGCGCCGAGTGGGGGAGCCTTGACCTGTTGCTGGAAGAAGTCAAGCGTCCTTGCCAGATGAGCGGCTGGCCAGACTTGAAAAGTCGCCAGAACTGCTCAGGGCGGACGAAACCTTTGAGAAACCTTTGAGTCTGTGAAGAGCATCTCCGGCGCTTAGCGTGTAATAGCCTTCGATAGCCTTCCTTGGACACACGAGGTTGACATGGAGCGCCAACTGTAGTTGAAATTGAGGGAACTCAGAATTGGCTAGATTCGCCTCGTTGAGCCCACTCTGTGACAAGCAATGGAAACGCAAGCGTGAAACAGACACCAGCTCAGACTCCTCCAGCAGCGAGGACTATTGGACCACCACCAGAGGGAATTTATTGGACCTGACTGAGTCCCGCGCTCGCGCAACTCCCCCAGGCTTGGCCGAAACATCTGGAGGGCGGATACCTCTCCTTGGACAATCTAACTTATTGGCATTTCGTGAGAAGGTATTTGATTGGAGGGAGTGTGGGTTTAGCCTTGACCGTTCTTGCCGAAAGTTGGAAAACATCCTTATGAAGGAAGGGAAGGAAGGATACTCTTCAAAAGACCGATCCTCAAACTTGTTCAAAGCAGGCTGTGCTTGTTCTTATTCAGAGTTACTTAAGGAAGGTGCAAGTATCCTCAACACATGTAAGATGATCGGCTAAACACATTGCAAAGGTAGGTCCAAGGAGAGGGGGCTAGCACATTTTCTTTCCCTTTGTATATATTAATGTACACACTGTATACATTTCTTTTCCAAACTCTGCATATATCACATCGATTTTAAGTGGCAGTGCCTCTGGTCACCTGCTCACTCTCCTAACTCCTAACTGTGAAAAACGCCTGGGTTGGGGTAGGATTGCACTGGTCTTCCGTGTGAGTCCCATGCGGAATGTGTAGTATTGCGACCCAATTGGTTCATTGTCCAATGTATTGGACACCTTTGCAACAAACCAGGTTGTACGTCAGCAGACCTTTCAGAATACCTTTCGTGTTATTCCAGCGACACCTGATGTCTTGCCAGAGTTGAGGGCAGAGGTCTTTGTCAGGGCCTGGATGGAAAATATACAAACTGCGTAACTACCCTGTTTTATATATTGGGCACTGAGAGAGGTGGAAACCATTTGTGGGTCCCGTTGTCATCTCATGGTCAGCCGCTTTGATTGTTTTGTTATCAAATGACTTGATCAACTTGGTCAACTTGCTTAGTGTTTGCGACAGGATTTGTGGAAGAAAGCAAGGCAGGACATTGAGAGGCGCCACCGCCTCAGCTGCGAACTTGCAGCGATCGGCAGGAACTTTCAACTTGGCCAAGGCGAAACACCTGGTTGGGAAGCTGAGCTGGCTTCACGTTTCCAGGTGCTGTGCTGGTTTTTAATTGCGTGAATGGCACTGGGGCTTCGCACCACTGTCTTTTCCTTAGCCACCACCCTTTAGATGGACAAACGATACTTCTGCCCGTGTTAATGCAGCGGCAGCGGTCCTTGATTATGAAATCAAAACACAATCTTTGCTGCCAGGCTTCTAGCGGCCTTCAAGATTTTGAAGTGAAGGAAGCTATAGGGCTGCTCAGCAGAATGATATGGCAGATTTCCTGAGACGGAAGCCGAGTTTTCTTCACTGTTTGTCAGTTTCTAAACTTGCGCATGCCTCGAGTTTTTTCTTCCACTCAAATTGCTATGCTGGAGGGTCGATGAAGTATGGGGCGCTTCGCAGCTACTTACAGATGGTGATGGTTACGAAGAGAGTGGGAGCCAAAGTGATGCCAACCCGTTTCTGGGTCTTGGGCTGATGTGATCTGGCTCCACAGCAATACTTTCGCATACTTTCATTGGATTTCTCATTTCTCAACATGTCATTGACTGCCGGCAGCCTTGAAACTCAAGGCGAGCGTATTCAGCCGTATCTGCAGATGCCCCGCTTACGGCCATTGCAATGAGTGGCGAGGGTGTGATTGGTATGGCTCAGGTGAAGAAGGACGGTTACGTATCTTGCTTGCAGAGTTTCACTTTGTAAGTTTGTAGTATTCTTTAGGTCAGCAAGTTCAAAGAAGTCTTCAGAGCAATTTCTCATGAAATGCATTTAGTAGTTTGTGGTCCGACAACTACTAAGTTTGCTTCTCCGGGGCCCCTGGTCCTTTTGTAGCTAGCCCAGGTCCTCTAGTCCTCCAGGATAGGCCTTTGTGCTTCGACCTCTAGCCCAAGTCTAGCTGTATAGGGCGGTGTTGTTTTATGATGAGCAGCCTTCTGCTTGGTGCTGTTAGAGAGCCGTTTGTGAAGGTGTATGATGAGAAGTGGTTGATTCAACTTGACTGAATGGTCAGGTGCAGAACCTTGTTGTAAAGCCGAGCAGCCGCCGAAAGGGTGTTGCTTCACAGATCATTTGCTGGTGTGCCACGCAGTCAAGACGACGTGGGGCAACTCAGCTATGGATGCACGTTGCTTGCCTGCAACTTCCTGGAGTCGATCTTGGTTCTTTCACACTAGCTTCTTGTTACTAGTAGCTTTGGCCTCCAGCCTGTTAATAGCTATGGCCTCCAACCTGATAGCAATGGCCTCAAACCTACTAGCAATGGCCTCCAACCTACTAGCGATGGCCTCCAACTTACTAGGAATGGCCTCCAACTTACTAGCGATGGCTTTCCTTGATGAGAGGGGCCCCCCTAGCTCAGGTGGCAGGGAGGGGGCTGCGTGTCAGACCGGAAACAAGCGAGAAGGCAAAAGCGCGCAAATCATTCAGAACACGATTTCCAGGATGAAATGACCACCGGTGAGTCAAACGCCAGCACGGGCCTGTTTGGCCAAGCGATTGCCCACCTTCAGCTTCTTCTGGAGTACATTGAATGAACCCTGGGGAGTGGTCCACTCATTATTGCAATCGTCAGCCGACCAAGGAAAGTCGAGCTCCGGCCATCATCCATATGACATCGGCCGAGCATGTTTCTTGCAAGCCTGCTCAATGACATGGCATACGCGTGATTGCTCTGGGAAACTGGGGCGGTGTGACCACCCAAAGACACAAGTACCTGCCCCTAGCCGATACAGTGAGCACACACGGGCACTGCGAACATAGCCGGGGATGATGGCACATCCACTCAAAGAAATCGTTTGCTGCGCAATATGAGCAAACTGTGTGGCGCCTTCATTCTAAGTATAGCTAAAGGCTTTGGCAGTGGCACTGCAATGTGCCCAAGCAAAGGAGCTTTCCCCCTTGGGGTTCTTCCGACGCACAGGAATGTAGCTGTGCGAAAAGAACATGAAGCTGAGAACAAGTTCCATCCATGAGAGGCCAATGGTAGCGTTCTCAACAGCGTCGGCTTCTGGAGCCCAGCATAGGGCATGGATCCAAGTTAAGACACACTCCAAGAGACTCGCGCCCCAATAACCATACGAAAAGAAACCGTATTCGCTGGGAGACAGGCACACAAATAGCCGCCTGATCGATCAATTGCTCATCCGATTCCAAGGTAGGGGTGGCGCCACGAACAAAAGCAAAGGTTAGCTTATTATGACCGATTTTGGCATCCAGGTGCCTCCTATACTGAAGTTTATCTTGGAAGGTACGGGCATCAATAACAAGTTCTTGGTTGACCTCATGTCCCCAGAATTGTTCGACATCAAACAGCCAATCCAGTGAGGGGAGGGTCCAAGGGAACCCAAGGTGTGAACTGAATCCACTGCGCAAATGACAGTCCTTGAAAAAGGAAATGCAGAATCTTGCGCCATCCAAGGATCAAAGAGGGATTGCGCTGGCCCTTCTCAAGCTTACGTCTGAGAGGTTGAATTCGTCTGAGCTGCTTAATCATGCTGGGAGTTCGGATACTATGTACTTCCTGGTCGGGCTCAAAATCACCGTGTCGTGCCCGGCGTACCATGGTGGTGACCTGGAGGAAGGTTGGCGCCAACAGGCAGTTTACGCAGAGCTACATCTACAGTCCTCTCAAGGGAGGAAGGGGTTCATGTAAATCCCGTGAGGCCTCGGGTGATGGAATGGCAAACGATGTAAAAGCCTTCGGTTTGGGCCAAACCTGCTTGCTCCACCCCCTTCCCTGGAGAATGGAGAGAAATCAAAACTACCTTATGAGCATTGAACAAAGGCTCCTGAACAACAGAAATGGATACGCTACGTGAAGCAAGCTCTGGAGCAAGAAAGGCTGTATCTGGGTTCGTGGCCTCCTTGCATGTAGGCGGCGTGGCCTCACCGTACATCTGAGTATACAGCTGTTGTAGACGCAGGAAACCCATTTGCGCAAAAGTACTCGTAGCTGCAAGTTTGTGCACATCTGCATTGAAATCGCCCAAAACGATGGCTGGAAGATTCACTTGCTTGATTCTCTGGGCTGCCAGGCCAGTAACTCGTTGTTGAAGTCCTGGGCACCAGCGTGTGATTGAGACAGCCCATATATTGTGACAATTTGCAGCTTCCACTCATCAACAATCACGCGCAGAAAGCGCAGATCAATACCCGGGTCCACCGGTTTTGGACACCGTGCAAGTCGCAATGGAGATACACTGAAATTGGCACGGCCCGTAGCTTTCCCACGCGTGCTCACTTGTTGGTCGTGTCTAGCCCGCAATGAAGGTGCAGGCGTCGTGAAGGCTTCGTGAAAAGTAATTACCCCAGTCGTTTCAGGTTCCTTGCAACAATCGCCTGTGTGGGTGAAGTTGCACTTGACAATGAAAATCTTGCATCAGCTCACGAAAGACTGGAACCTTGTTGGCCAGCGAGGTGGGATTACACAGCCCAAACTGGAGAGTAGCAGGCATTGGGTTCTGAGCTTCACCAAATCGAATTGCCTGTCCAAGAACACGTCTGAAAAGCTTCCACTGACAGTGAAGTTCCTCACAATGCCAAGAGAGCAAATTACTTGCGGCCACCATGGAGCTCTCGGTGGGAACAAGCCCACGAAAAAACCATAGTGAATTAACGCTTGCCCGGCCCCTTCACTCAGCGCACTCCTTGGGCTTCTTCCTGCCGAAGTTCTCTTGGAACATCTCTTGCAGAGCCGCAAGGGTACCACCATGAATGGCCTGGTTCTCGGTCTTCATGGTCTTGACCACGGAGGCTTCCAACGCCTGTGCCGAGGTCTGCAATTGCAAGGCAACCTCTTTCTGATGTTCATGAAAATCGCAGGTCAATGGAATGCAGTCGATTCTGCGTGTCATGCCCTTGCTGCCGGATGTTGGTGTCCAAGAGGGAGAGATTCTTCTGGGGCCAACCACACTGCGTGCAGCCGCTGAGGATAGGAAAGGTCAACCCTGCGTAGCAAGGTACTGAGCCCATGGGTCAGCAGGATGCTGAGATGTAGAGGTAGAGCCAGTCGGGGTGGCGCTGAGAGACACATCTCCGACCACCACGGTTCCCCTTTGGCGGCAAAGGTCTGGCCAGAACCGGTGATGAATTGTACAAGCTTGCCGCAAGCCAGGCAGTAGCGCCGATCTGTCGGACGGGCTGAATGGACCACTTGTATGTCAAGGCCCATTGCGTGAGCATATGCTTTGATGTGCCGAAAGGCAGTGGCTGAATCTTGATCCACGTAGCTCCTTGAAGATCTGGAGGGATGTCCTTGGTAGGGCAGATGATCTTCCAAGCCGCATCAAAACCATCCAGTTTGAAGCGGAGCGCCGTGCCATCTCGACCCTTGACCAATCCAATGCACCCTGAGGTCTGCTTGGACAGGGTAGTGAGCCTTGGTAGATCTCCTTCATCCGGAGGTTGGTGGCTTTATGCGCCCTCAGCGCATCAAGGCTGCTTCTCCCCGAACTGGATGAGTGTGCCTGCCAGGATGATTGCACCACCCCCTTGGACTTCACAGGGGATTGTGACAGCCTGATGCTTCAAAGATGTCTCGGGCTTCTGCTGAGAGACTACGATGATGCCCAGTTCATCCTTCGACAATATAGCGTTCTCCCGAACCCACGGAAGGGCCTGCTCCAAATAATGTTCCAGCAGCACTCGACAGGATTGTGGTACGACGGAATGCATCTGAGTTGCATCAGAACCATCCTCATTGACAATGAAGCCTTGCGTGATAGAGACTCCAGACAGATCCACCTGAGGGTCGGTTGTTCTGTGGCTGCAAGTGGCGGGAGGAGCTGTCACTCCGAAACACCTACCGTTTGCAGGGCAAGAGCCTGAAGGATGGCTTGACCACGGCTGCCTTCCTTCCCACGGAGAAGAGCTGAAGCAGCAGAGAATCCGATGTGTCCACGGCCTTGGAAATCCATGCCTCAGGTCATACTGGAGGTCAAGCAGCAGGCCAGCGATTTCATTCTTCACTGCCACCGTTTGAGGATGCTCGCCACCACTTCCGCCGCCCTGAATTCTGGTGCATGGTGACGTGGAGTACATATGCTCGTCCTCGTTGATCCGAGGTGCGGAGAAAGCTCACTGTTTGCTCCGGGAGTATTCGTGAGGCAGAAAACCCGTGAATCAAACGAAGCTCCTGCGCCACTTAAAGGCGACAAAGACTCCATCATGAACTCGGACGCAGTCCAAGGTGCTTCAGAGCGCTCTCACAGACCACCAGAGCTGAAACTGGGCCGCTACCAAGGGTGACAGAGACCAGAACGCCTTCTCGATACTGAGATCGAAGGTGGCCCTGCCTTCGCTGGTCAACACCTCATCCCATACTGTTGCCCATAGCTCACAGCCTTGTTGACCCCCCGCACCATGAATGACGTGAGTGTCAGACCTTCAGAACTATGCTTCCAGTGGCAAGCGCAGTTGACAGTAGTGGCCTCCTTGAGGATCTGATCAGCAGTGAAAGTCAGGCGGGCGTGACTCCAGCTATTGAGTGTTTGGACCATCTCCGGGACGATGTGTGATCGAAGTGGGACCAGGTCAAATGGATCATGTCACAACAGATCTTGTTCGTGACTGCGCCATCTCGCCACGAAAAACGAAGCGCGTGTCCATTTCTGAATGGCGCAAGACTGGGACACACCATCCTGTTGGATCATAGCGCCAATCAACGGTGGGCTCAGGTAGAGGAAAAAACCGATCCTGGTCTTCCAGGTGGTCAGTGTCTGATTCATGTCAAAGGGAGTTCCGCCACAGGGCCTGTAGGGCCATCAAAGACGATCCTGCACCTCAGGACAATCCTGATGGGAAGGGTCTGACCCAAGAGTTCCTGTTGCGAGGTTTGCGCAGCGAAAGGTGTCCACGGCTTCAGACAATGCATCCATCAAGGGGGCCTCGACTGTCCAAGTAGCTCCGAAGAGGGACTATTCCAAGCTCAGGCATCCAAAAGGAGTTGGCCGGACTGATTCATCCACATAGTGCCTGATGGGAAAACTTCAGCATGCAAGCTAGAGGCGCGCAAGCGACGCTCCTCAAAGTATTCCCAAACATCCGTCCAGGACAACCTGAAATCCCGTTGCTCCAGCATGTTGACCCCCTGAACCAACAGCCACAAGGCATGTGGAATAGCAATCTGGTTGCCCAATCCCTTTCATTCCTGGTGTAGATCCTGCCACGACCAGAACCCAAGCACCGTGGATGAGGACAACCGCAACTGGATGCCAAAACCTAAGACCTTCGGACTCAGCAGGTTGAAACCAGTGAGCAAAGTAGCCTTTGGTCTCCAGGAGGATTCAAATGATGTTGATTGCCATATTGGGCCATAAAGGTCGGCAAGCAGCTACTGGCGGATCTGAAAACGTGGGATTCCGAGTACACCGGCGTTGGTGTTTGGCGCTTCGGTGAAGTGGATAATTCCGAGCGCGTTGAAGCGCGTGTTCAGGCGCCAGCAATTTGCCAATGACCTCCTCCGGCCAGGATCGAATGCAGTCCAGCTCCAGCAAAGTCAGGGTGCATTCCACCGACCAGGATGAGATCGCAGACATCTGGATGTCGTCGCCGTGTATAAAATAGGCGATTCCAAGCCACCTGGATCGCCTCACAGGCATCGCGTCACCAAGTTCGATAACTCTGGAGAATCTGAGCTGACACCCTGCGAACCACAATGCTTTTTCGATCCACATTCGATGTGGATGGGAGTGAAAGCCAGCCACCTGTTCGATCAGGATGAGCTTGGGTCGGAGGAGCTTGCGCAATCCGATGCTTCGCGTGAACAATTGCCCTTCCGTGGAGTGTAGACCCTGCTGACAACAAGGGACAGCGGTGTGACAGAGAATAGCACCTTGCAGCTTTGAAATCAACTTCAATGGAGCCCGATACCATAGGAAGTTCCATTTCGTTCAACAGCTGCGTAGCGAATGACCAGCCTCCCCACGAGCATCCGAAAAGGTGGAGGATGTGAATGGGTCCAACATCACGCTTCTTCAAGGGGAGCACCAAGGTCTGGTCATCAATGGAGAGGTATCCACGGAACTCCGGCCCAGGAAAATTCAGGGCAGCGTTCCAAATCGTGCGTTTCCCATCGATGCCTTGGATGCACATGTTGTGGAGAGCACCTTTCTCACCAGCTTTCCAGTCGAAGGTGATGGATTGTGGCATGAGGCCATCCGGACCAACCCAAACACTATCCATATCCAATTGCTTCAATCCCCTTCCAGCTGCAATCAAATCATCAGCCTCCAGAAGAAAAAGGTCATCGAACTTCTTCAACGCCAGGTTGTCCACCAGCAGGGATGGGCGTTCAGAGAGCCAGCCACCAGTGTCCCCCCAAAGAGCGTAGTTCGACAGGATCTCCCGAGCCGCGCCAGGAAGAAGTCGATCATCGTGATCCATGGCCATGAAATGACATGGCCACGCTGGCACCCCTTCCACAGGGGTTCCCACCACCGCGGGGCGCGAACGAACGCGCCGGGAGGCCTGGGCCCAGGTGGCTACTAGCGATGGCCTCCAACCTGATAGCCATAGCCTCCAACCTACTAGCAATGGCCTCCAGCAATGGCCTCCAACCTACTAGCGATGGCCTCCAACCTAAGACCGATGGTCTCCAACCTAGTAGCGATGTCCTCCAACCTAGCAGCGATGACCTCCACCCGAGTAGCTTCTTATTACTAGTAGGCTTGTCCTGAGAAAAGAACTCTTGGCGGCTGCTTGAACAAGAATAAGCACTCCATGTGATTTCTACATGAAGAAAGGGCAGAAACAACTGGAAGCGTACAGCACACATTCAGGTTTTTGCCATTTATCTACCAGAATATCAAAGCAACAGGAAGGTGCAGGGCAATGAGGAGCAAGGTTAGATGCCGCCGCTAGCTTCGTTCTTGTAGATTCCATATTGCGCTCTTTTCTTGGTTGACCCCGTGTCAGGGATTTGTTTTTTGTTTGCCTTATTGTTTGCCCACCCACACATACGCACATACAGGCCAAAGGTATGATAAGGTGTTATCAAGTCGCCCCAGCCATACCAGACCCTGATGTTGCGGCGACTCATGTATTTTCTGTGTACTGTATTCTTGTTCAATCAATCTTTGCCTCACATTCTGAACTGGCCTTTTGGGAGTTCAGCTCCAACCTCCAAGCACAAAGGATGGTCCACACCTTTTTGTGGCACACCTTTGCCTGCTGTGCAAAGGTAGAGCCAGGCAACGAGCCAGCATTGAACTTCTACCGACGACTTGGCTTCGAGGTGCTCAATCCTGTACCGATTTTGAAGCAAAATTCTTATGAATGCAAACCCATAGGGAGGCTGGCCGGTTTCCTGCAAACAAAGTGCCTTATTATATAGTAGTTATTAGTAGTTATTAGTGGGTTTTGGGAAAGGTTGTCTCAACATGTTGATATTACATATATAGATGGATCTATATATTGAGGTGTTTTGGGACGCTTTGCAGAAGCTACAGTGACAGCGTAGTATGGATGCCAGTGATGTGAAGGTTTTGAACTACATTGCTTACATGGTCTACAGTACAATACACTTTGTATGATGGTCAAGAGAAGAGCAGGCATAAAGGCTCCGTTGGTCAAGCCCATTCAATCCATAGGTCCATAAGTCTGCGTGGGACAGTGTTGGGATGAGCCTAGGAACTTTATCAGCGTCACCCAATATTATATATACACCTACATGCACGCATGGTGGCGCAGGGTTGCTTAACCTTCGCCCAGGCCGACCTCGCAGTGTCACATTTGTCTTTCCTTACTGATACCCTTATATATCTCAATGTAGGCCTACAAGGCCTCTAAAGGGGCTCTAAACCATTAAGCTGGCTAACCTATGCAGCGAATGTTTAGTTCTGAGGATATTTCTTTAGAAAGCCTGTCGCTTCAAATAAAGGCTGGCCAGGCCGAGGTGGACAGGGTTCGCCTTTGATACTTTATAAAAGCACATGTTCGCTCTGCTGATGCACTTATTTCATTTCAGCTTTAATTGCAGTCTCGTCTCCGGCGTCAGTTTCAAATCTTGTCTCTGGCGTCAGTTTCAAAACTTGTCTCCGGCGTCAGTTTCAAAACTTGGTCCTTCATCAAGACTGGCAAGTGCCAGTTGGTTGAAATTTGCTCAGTGAGTGGGTTGAACATCTCAGGTTGCAGTCCTTGATTTGCTGAACAGTTCCTCCAACATGACTCTTCCAGTGCTTCTGATGCTACTTCCATCGTTTGCATTTCTAAGACCCAGGTCAACCGATTATCCTACCGAACCCATCCAAGCCGTCCAATTCGTAGCGTAATTTCATATTCATTCTTTGCAGCTCTTCACCATCATGTGACGAATTCAGTTCAGAAAAAAAGGCACCCCAACTTGTCTAGAGAGAATCCGCATATTTGAGTCAATTGTATATACTTAGAACGACGCATTGTGGGCCGAATTTCTCCAGAAGTGTGTTCATAACTTTGCGGGGTGGATGCATGTTGAAGACACGCACGTACAAAAGATTGCCCTTTGGATTCGTTGCATAGTATTTAACAGGTCCCCTAATCCTTGAAGCAGATGCTTTGGCTTGTGAAGTGCAAAAGGAGGTTTCCCTTGCCGTGTGTGTTTTGTGTGGTATATTCTGGATTGCAGGGCAGCTGTTCAGGCTATATTTTCTTGCCATGTGACAATCATTGGCTCGCATTTCTTCTTTGCTTTTCAGTCATTGGATCTTGCTGGACTATCAAAGTTATCTTTTTTTACGTAGGCAGCGTTCTCATATTTAGTTTTACCAGTCCTTGTGGACTCAGTATCTTTGGACGGAAGCAGGTTGGTCTGCAAGGAGCGGCTATGTGAAAGTTGGTCTGCAGGTCGGTGAAGAAGAAGTTTACCGAGAACGACGCGCAGTGCGACTGACCAGGCTGCTGTGATCCTGGCGACTGTGTGCAACAAGTGAACAGATACCAGGCATAAAACAGGTTGTTTGGACGTTTCTCAGGATAGGTGTGGCGCAAGAGACGGTGTTTTGATGCGGCGCATTGCAGCCGGTTCTGAATTTCTTTGCTCAAACACACACCCACAAACAAGAGTGGCTTGCTGAATGCCCTGTGGATGGATACAGTATCTGGCAAGATACATGTTTATGTTCAAGATGTCAATCGTGCAAGAATACAAGTCAGAACACCTTGAACCAATTGTGTTGTTTTCTACATCCTGCGTAATAGCTCACCCACCACATACCTTGGAGATGCATGGCAGGCTAGAGGCTGATGGGATATTGCTTTGTGTGATTTGAGGGTTTTTCTCGAGAGAACTTTGACGTTGAGAGACTCTTTTGCACAACTTGAACATGTGGCAGGCGCAGCCGGCACGGTCAGTGCTGCCGTGACCTTGAGCAATCCGAGATTGAGATCAACCTGAGCAGAAGCAGTTTGTGAGGCACCTGCGTGCAACTCAGCTGTTTGACGCGCTTGACGTGCTGCACCAGGGCTGGTTGGAGGCCAGCGTGACATGTGCTAGAACAAAGATGATGAAATGCAAGATTCCTCGCTTTGCCAGCTGCGTTGGGCCACAGATGCACTGGCATCATTCAAGCTCCCCAAGAAGGAGACTTTCAGGATGAAAAGCACAAACTCAACAGAACAGGTTGTGCCTTTCCTACACAGAGGAAGTTGTGGCCAATGCCAGGAGCATGAAAGAATGGCGATGCTTCTAGAGCGTGCTGCTCATGCAGGACGTTGCCATATGTGAGCCGGAGCAGGGTACCTTGCCAGCATGCACGTGTTGCATTTTCTGCCAAATGTCAGGAGGTTGTGGAAGTTCAGACCAACGACATGTCACTCGGAAGAGCTTTCTGAAGGTCTGAAGATCTAGCTTCTTCAGCAGGCAATAGGTTAATAGGTATCAGGGACATTAGACAAAGTGTTTTCTTGTCAGATTCCATCATGTCCATGAAAGCGCAATGTTTCTTGAGTAGACTGCAGGAAGTTGCTGCAGAAAGATCTCAATCTTGCTCCCTGAGTGGAGGACTCAGCGCCATGTATGATATTGCGTCCTCAGACCTGCTGATGTGAAGGTGTTGGGCGGTTTGAAAGCAAGAGTTCTTGCGATCAGGAGGGTAGGGATTGGTTCGCTTGTCACAATTGCCAGCAGTTGCAGCAAGTGGTCTGCTTGCCATCATCAGGAATCCCGAACTTGGAATTGGCCAAGAGCAAAGGCAGATGATTCATGCGCATACGTTGTATCTCAGTTCCGCTAGACAATTTGAAACTCTGTTGACATTGTGCTGTTGCATAACGTTTTTTGAATCAGGTTTGCTCCCCGCCTGCTTCTTCGCGACCCGTGTCTCCGTTGTCGCAGGTGGAAAGAGCTGTGCTCAAAGCAAGATTCTTCTCCTCAAAAGTCTTTTCATGTCTATTCAGTCTTCTTCTCCGTTAGGTCCAGTTGGGTCTTTTTTGCCTTTCGCCTGCCATCTCTTTGCTTGCCAGGCCGCCTCACTTCGCTCAAGCCCAGAGGCGCTGCTGTCCCCTGTGCTCAAGTCTTGCGTCTTCATACTTCACCTATTGAGGTGAGCTTGTCTCCTTCGCCTCCGTGAATTTCTGAGATTGATGCCTCTCTCCTTCTTTGTATACAAAGGCATAGAGGGTGTCCTGGTAATACCTGCTTTGTAACTGTCACAGGGGGAAGTGCATAAGTCTATGCAGTGCATTACACACCTTCAATAGCAAATGTTTGGATGAGCAGGCATAAATATCGTGCCTCTACATCAAGTCAATGAACACGAGAATATGCCTGTCGCATTCTGCAAAACGTATTTGGTTCGAAACACTATACTGTATATATCAATCACGAAAGCCAGCCGATAGGCTAGGCTGGAGTTGGGTTGGGCGAACGAAGTGAGTAAAGGGGGTGTGGGGGGGGTGGTCGCACACGGGTCAATTTCGGAGGGCGAACCCAGAGCCTGGCAGGGGAGAGCGAAAAAATTGAGGACTCGAATGGGATTGAACATGTATGGATTTTGGGGGTGTTGTGATGCAAGTGATGTAGTAATTGACGGCCAGTGGTGCATCATTAGCATTATGAGGGGCTCAGGAGGCAATGTAAATCGTCTTCTACCAGGAGTGGGAGTTCATGTCGACAACGGGGCGCGAAAAGTGGCTGGAACTCCTCCAGGAAAGGCAGATGTGCGTCTGGTGGCCATTGAAAATCGTCGATGATCTGTGAGGGCAGGAGAGGGAACAGAATGCTGTGGGGAAGGTGGAAGACAGGCATAGCGGAGGAGGATAGGTAGGAAAAGAGGGTTTGCAAGAAATGTGGGCACTGCGTGGCATCTTTACCATTCACCCTTTTCAGCTTCAAAATTTCCTTGAGCAAAAACAGGCCCCCCCCCCAACCCATGTATTCTGCTTTCTATTTCCAACAGCAGTAGCATCACTGCTATGTCGATGTCCCCCCATAACAACGGCAATCTTTCCCCGAAGTCCTTGTGTGATCTCAGCAGTAAACTCTCCTCGGTCCACTCTTAGCAGCGCACCGACTTTCTGAGTCTATCTACAACACAAGACAAACCAACAGCAGGCAAACGCCCCTCCGTTACTTAGAGGCGCCCTTTTTTATCTTCAAAACGCTCCTTGAGCAACAAGAGCAGGGGCACCCCACAGCCCCACCTCTACTACGACTGTCCACCTCTGCCTTTTTTCCTCATTCTTGACCCTGTTCCAGTGCGCTCTCGACTTCACCCCGCATTGGAGGCTGGCTTTCGTCCCCTCCCTTCTCAGGTATATATATATATACAATTCTATACACATATACACTTTTAGAAATGCGTACTGATGTGAAAGCGGTTGCCACACGCCAACCTGGGTACCCAATTCCTGAAAAGGTCAAGTAAACCTACGGAGCCTGGAGGTCTTCAAGAGGAAGCAGGGCCAAAAACCAATGCTGGCCGGGCACTGATATCGCATCCACTAGGCGCGGTTTTTGTTAGATGAGGCACACCAAGGGATCCTCACCCCCCCTGCTCTGCATTGAAAAGAAAAAAGTCGCGTCTCAGCATTGCGCAGGAAAAAGCTAGTGCGAAACAATCCCAAAGGACGCCTGTAACTCCAACGGTTACGCACACACACACACACACACTCACACAGACACGCCCCTGCAATGGGGGGCACTTTTCAGCTGAGGTCCAATCGATGGGGTGAGAAAGGCGAGATCAAGAAAAGGTAGGAATTTCCCCCAGCCGTTATCTGGGGTGAGGATGGTTGGCGCTAGCTGCACAATGAAAGGCCCACGCACCCCTGCACGCTGTTATCCGGTAGGGTGTAGACCCCAGCGTATGGAAGGGAAAGGAAAAGGTTGTAGGCATGTTTGCAATGTGTGGCTTGGTGTCGGCAGCAAGGCCAGCAGGAGAGGGCTGCAGAGCGGCGGGAGGCGCAGGGAGAGGAAGAACAAGAAAAGGCATGAATTTTTCCGAGGCGTAAACTGGGGTGAGGATGGTTGGTGCGGTTGCCAGCTGCACAGTGAAAGGCCCAGGCGCCCCTGCACGCTGCTATCCGGTAGGGTGCAGACCCCGGCGTACGGAAGGGAAAGGAAAAGGTTGTTAGGCGTGTTTGCAGTGTGTGGCTTGGTGTAGACGGCAAGGGAGTCGCAGGGAGAGGACGAGGAGGAATCATCCCCGACAGGTTCCAACGAACATCAAAATGCTTTGACCGCTGCGGTCACTCTGTGCCATGCCAAAATGGTGGGCGACTTGAGACCGCTCTGGTCACCTAACAGCATGCCCGAAGGCGGCCAGCTTGGAATTCAATAATCCGTCAAGTCTCGGCAAATAACTTTGGCTCAAGCCACCCCGTGTTCAACGAGTCCACAGGGGCTACTCTTCGGGGTCACCCTGGGCTCTCACTAAAGAGAGACACGCTTATAGAACTGCGTTGTGAAAGCGGTTGCCACGCGCCAACCTGGGTACCCAATTCCTGAAAAGGTCAAGTAAACCTACGGAGCCTGGAGGTCTTCAAGAGGAAGCAGGGCCAAACGCTCAATGCGTGACTGCAGAAAAGGCACATCAGTGCTGGCCGGGCACTGATATCGCATCCACTTGGCGCGGTCTTTGTTAGATGAGGCACACCAAGGGATCCTCATCCCCCTGCTCTGCATTGACAAGAAAAATGGAAAAGTTGCGTCTCAGTGCAGGAAAAGGCTAATGCGATACAACCCTAAAGGACCCCTGTGGCTCCAAGGGTTACACACACACACTTAGGATGGGTGCTCCGCTGGGCTTCAGAGATGCGCGGTGAGCATTAGCCTTTTAGGGGAATACTTAGCACTTGACGGGATTCAACGGAAAGAAGTGAAGGGTCAGAAAAACAAAATGTTTGAACGTAGGTGAAACATGAAGCATCAATTAAAATGAGAGGGGCTTGTTGTGAGCGCTTGTTGTGAGCGGTTGAACAGTAAGAAATCTAGGATTAACCTAGATTAATCCACTGCCAGAAAGTTAATCAGATGCGCAGCGGCAAGCGTGCAAACATCATTTTCATTGAGACAAAGATTGAGAAGACAACTGGCAGAGATTGAGAACATCGCTTTTTGATATACAACTGGCAGAGATTCATAGGACAAACGCATTCACATGGGCATTCATTCAAATAAAAGAAATACCAGTGTTCAGTGAGTTTGATGAGTGGAAGCACTGGAATGATACAAAGATAGAAGATCTAAATCTTTACATGGTTCAAGTTTATTCATCTAACATCTTCTTCAATAAGAAATATAATCTAATATGGTCAATGCTTAAAAACAATGATTGAAAACAAAACAGAATTAATCAAATACCCTACTGCATCCATAAAATTAATTATAGTGGTATAGTGGATCAACTGAATGAAACAGTCTTATGTGATGACATTGAAGAAGACAAACCCAACAAAAAAAGGATAGCACATATCACCTTTGGAATGCTAGAGAAGTCCAGCAACACAGCACAGAGGAGTTATATTTTTAATTCACTGAGGGAAGCCATCCACTATCAGAGACAAAGTGGTGGAAGGATATATGCCATCCAAGAAGAAACTGTTATATATGAAGTAGATGAAGATGATGATAAAGAAACAAGAACAGAAGGTGAGACCTGCTACACCCTAAATGTTGATAACAAAACAAAACTGATGAATGGTTTTAGATTCATAAAAGAGTTGCTACTGCAATATCACAACTTTGCAATGTATGAAGCATACAATAAGTAAAGAGAAAATAATATCAAGATCTTTTCAGTCAAATCACATGCTTTTACCATTGATGAAGATGATTTAAATAGAGTCATGGGGAAACCAAATCATTTCATCAAACCATACCGGACTGGACTTTTACAGTTTGAGACTGGAATAGGAATAGGCAACTGGAGACTGACAAACAAATCAATCAACTTCCCAACATGTCAGTATAGATTCAAACTTAATAACTGTATTGAAATTCCTGTTTATGAAAATCACCGCATTGATGTAGTTGATGAGTTTGACACTGAGACTGGTTGTAATCAAATCATTCAACAAAACCCCTGCATGATCAGAGCAAAAATTGCAGGATCAGGCAAGTCATACATAGGACAGTATTTCAAAAACCTAGGTAAAACTGTTTTGTTTGTTGTTCCTCACAACCGGTTAAGTCAAGAAATAGAAGGTGATACCACCACTTACAACATGTTGTTTAGAATTCCAGTTAATAAGGGTGATGAACTACCTGAGTTTGACCACAGTGAGTTTGATGTCATCTTCTTTGATGACATCTACATGACCAACAGGCATATCTGCAAAAAGGTACTGCATTTTAAATATCAACATGAGGGAAGTAAGATCATCATAGGTGCTGGTGGTACAAAACAGTTGGAGCCAATCAATGATCTAACTAATACCCAACCACATGATAAATACGCTGACCAGTGTATGGACAAGATCTTTTATATACAGCGTCTACCTCAAGATCTGTAAGAGAGCAGGTGAAAAGGACAGAAAAGTCTTAGATGAACTGTATGATGATTTTTGGATACATAAACTCCCCATAAGAATAATTATTTAACGATACTTCACATATACAAATAAAAGTAACAGAACAGATATGAACATTGCCTATACCAATGACAGGTGTAGATATGTACCAGATGAAGTCAGAAAACAACTGGGATACACTAACCCCTATGGGGTGGGTGAGGAGTTGATATGTAGGCTTTACCTCAAGCAAAATGGAGAGAAGTTTAATGCCAACATACGTTATACAAATTTATGTATAAATTGATCTAATATTACAATAGAAAACATCAAAAACAAGAAGAAGCATACACTAGATGAAGACATTTTATACAAGCACTTTAGGTATGACTGTGCTACTTGCCATAGTTGCCAAGGTGCAAGTATTGAGGCTAATATTACCATTCATGAGTGGCAACATCCCAGACTGTCCAGAGAATGGTTGTGGACAGCGATCACAAGAGCAACTGATTTCAACAATGTTTCAGTTTATGAAAACATTCAAGCAGAACAAAATAGACAAGAACAGAAACTAAAGCAATATTTTAAAACAAGATTGAAGGATACAAGCAACAGGACAGGAAAGCAATCAGAGAATTGAACCTAGACAATTATGTTGATGTGGGTTGGTGTCTGGATAGGTTGGATGGAACATGCAGGGAAGTGGTCTCCGCTTTCGATGCCAAACCTGTAGCAAATGGAGCAGATGAGTCAGATAGGTGTCTTTTTCGGAATAGGATTAATCTAGATTAATCCTGCAGACGTCAAAACCTCGAAAAAAACAAAAACAAACGCATCATTTCCACACCACTCCATGTTTGGGAAACTTGGGTTTTTCTAGGAAACACCAAAAAACAAAAAAACAATTTTTTTGAGTCCATGCTCTGATATGTGGGGTTTTAGTGTTTTTACTGTAAAAACCAAAGTTTCCCAGACATGGACCCAACCACTTTGTTTTTTTTTTGGGGGTTTTTCTAAGGACTTTTTTGTTGTGAGAGCGCAAAATCAATGTAGAATAACACAGATATCACAATATATCACAATACAAGTGAAGAAAAACATGATTTTGCACCACTCACAACAAGCCTTTCTGATTAAAAATTGGCAGGTACGCTGGGATGATCAGTCCCAGTACCACCAAGGCGTAGAGAGCCTCTTCGTTGGTGGTAGGCTCTCTGCCTTGCTACTGCCCCTGGTGGAATCTGTACAAAAAGTAGGTAGAAAAGGTTCAGGTAGGTGTAGTGCCCCTGGAAACGGGGGCTGACACACAGACAGAGAGCCGAACTCGGCGCAGCTAGTATAGGGTAAAAGAACGTCATTACAGTCAAAACGTTCCATGCCTTTTTGCCGCTGCAACGCTGCAGCGCAATGTATTGGCGAGTGATCTTTTGTCACGTAAAGCTGGACAAATGCTTGGGGTGGGGTGGAAGCAAAGGTCTGGTGGGAAGAAGCTTGCAACCACCGCGCAGTCTTGTGGTTAGAGTAGTAGGAAGCGGAAAAGGAAGTAGGAGAACCGAAAACTAGATTAAAACTTAGAGATTAAAATTGGGAAATCTCCTGGGCTGAAACGAATTCAGAGGGGAATGTCAGTAAGCTCCGCAGCAAGGTTCATAGATACCGAGGTGAAATGTTTTCCATCAAGCATACTTCAAGCAAGAGATTCAGCTTCGGTTGTTTGAGGTCCAGACTGGACTATACAGTGGGTTCTCTCCAAAAAAGGAGTAAAAAGACTCAGTAACGCCACAGTGGGAAGAAGCTGCGAATCACACTTTAAAATTGGCAGGTATGCTGGGATGATCAGTCCCAGTACCACCAAGGCGTAGAGAGCGTCTTCGTTGGTAGTAGACTCTCTGCCTTACTACCTGCTAGAATCTGTCCAAAAAAGTAGGTAGAAAAGGTTCAGGTAGGTGTGGTTAGTGCCCCTGGAAACGGGGGTTGACGCACACCCACACAGAAGCACACTTAGATGGATGCTCGCAAGAGCTGAGTCGGTTGACGAAGTCCCACTTTACACGCATTAGCCCTTGACTCGATGGAATCGAAAAATGCAGAACCGAAAGGTGAAAAGGTCCGCATACTTGGAGATGTTTGAACAATTTTTTGCAACTCAGTAGCCGCTTTCAACAAAAAAACGTAGTGGACAGATTTGAAACTGGTTCAAACCTGTAATGCAGGTACACCAGGTTGATCAGACCTGGCTTCCCAGATGCAAGGTAGCTTTGTTAGGCGCAGTCCCTTGCATCTGCTTTTAAAAATTGGCTTGAAAAAACTTTACAATGTGTGTAGCCTTAGGAACAGGCTTTGACACACACGCATCACGCCGATATCGGCGCTCAAGTGAGGTACTAGCCACCTAACAAGCCTTTAGAAAGAAAGACAAAGAAAAACAAAAAGAGCAAACGAAGAGGGCAAGAGAGAAAGGTAGGTGTAGTGACAAGGCCCACTAGTTACGAAACTTTCTAGTTACTGATTACTTAGCAGTATGAATTAGACGCAAAAGTTAGCGAGCGGGACTTTAGTCTTAGACCGCTCGGGTAGGTAGGACTATAGGACAGGAGAAACAGAAGGAAAGGCACCAACACACAAGTGTGTTGAGTGCGATTTCCTTCTGTTACCCTAGATAGCGGGTGGGGTGGCCCGAAGGCAATGCCGCACCGGCGGTCAAGTAAAGCCGTAATCGGCTGTCCTTTGACTGAAAGGCACCTGGAACCTAAAGAAAGGCCTCAAGAAAACGAAAAGCAACAGCAGGAAAGAAAAACCAAACGGACCAAAAGAGAACCCACTTACGTTTCTCGCTGTCGTCGCGTCACGTTTTGTCGTATACGGTGCTCCCTTGACGAAAGCTTCGCCTGATACCTAAAGGCCTCATGTTTCTCACTCCCTTCACGTCATACCTAAAGGCCTCACGTTTCTCACTCCCTTCACGTCGCGTTTGGCCGTACTCCGGGTTCGTTTGGTGTCGTTTTTCGGTTTGCGCGCGCGCAGGTAACTGGCCTGTGAATACTTAGCAGCATGACGTGGACATGTGATTACTTAGCAGCGTGCAAAATTCCCAACTGGAGTCTGATCCCAGTAAGCCCTGCGGCGTTCAATCAGCAGTCTCATGCACACCCGGAATCCAGTGAGAGTCGGAGTGAGGGTCACAAGAAGGACAGGAGGGTTCAGTGGGATTCCCCCAGGATCTGGGCCTATGCACATGCTGCGCCCCTCGGTGGGGATCACACCACAGCCCGCAGTGGGACTATGCGGCGACGCACACTTAGATGGATGCTCGCAAGAGCTGAGTCGGTTGACGAAGTCCCACTTTACGAACCGAAAGGTGAAAAGGTCCGCGTACTTGGAGATGTTTGAACAATTTTTTGCAACTCAGTAGCCGCTTTCAACAAAAAACCTAGTGGACAGCTTTGAAACTGGTTCAAACCTGTAATGCAGGTACACCAGGTTGATCAGACCTGGCTTCCCAGATGCAAGGTAGCTTTGTTAGGCGCAGTCCCTTGCATCTGCTGCGCCCCCCTGCTGTTAAAAATTTGTTTTTTTCATTTACAATGTGTGTAGCCTGAGAAACAGGCTTTGACACACACACACACACTTAGATTGATGCTTGCGAGAGCTAAATCAGTTAGTGAAGTTCCACTTTACACAAATTAGCCCTTGACTTGAAGGAACCGAAGGATGCTGGAACGGAATGGCGGCTGAGTCAGTTGACTTGAAGATGTTTCAACAGTACATCAGCGGGAAAATGGGTTTAGGGGAATAGCATGGAAGGACCATGAATCAAAAATGGAGAACTGGAGTCGCAGCGTGTCGAAAGGTTGTTTCAGCAGGTACGTCGACAGGACGTCTCCTGTCGATATCACGAGCAAGAGACAGGTGTCTTCGTTGGCGCCTGCCCTATCTCTGCTCCAGGTGCCCCCTGCCTGTGTAAAAATGTGGTGTCCTTTGGTACAGGTGTACACACACACGGAGCCGGAGACCGGCGCGCGCTCTTTTTTGTCCGCGGGGAAAGGAGGGGGAAGAGGGTGTGGGAGTGCATTGACTAAATGAGCCTGGATGCCAACCTCACAAACCCTAAAAAAAGGAACAAGGCAAACGAACAAGGCAAGGAAAGAAAGGAAAGGTGCATGGGGTGCGGGGGTGTGGGCGGGGCGTGCGTTGATTAAACGAGCCTAAACGTCAACCTAACAAGCCTGAAGGAAAGCCCAAGCAAACGAAAATGGCAAGGAACGAAAGGTGCGAGGGGTAAGCCGCAAGCGGCGCACCCTTGACTAAAAGGCTTGAATTGCACCTAAAAAGCCGCTAGAAGACGAAAAAAGATTTAGAAAACGAAGGGCAACAGCAGGAAAAAAAGAACCAAAAGGTGACTACTTAGCAGCGTCCTATGATTACCTAGCAGGGGATCACACCACAGCTCGCAGTGGGACGCTGTGGCGAAAGACACTTAGATTGATGCTTGCAAGAGCTAATTCAGTTAGTGAAGTTCCACTTTACACAAATTAGCCCTTGACTTGAAGGAACCGAAGGATGCTGGAACGGAATGGCGGCTGAGTCAGTTGACTTGAAGATGTTTCAACAATGTGTTTCAGCGGTGACGCGGCTGTACATCAGCGGGAAAATGGGTTTAGGGGAATAGCATGGAAGGACAATGAATCAAAAATGGAGAACTGGAGTCACAGCGTGTCGAAAGGTTGTTTCAGCAGGTACGCCGACAGGACGTCTCCTGTCGATATCACGAGCAAGAGATAGGTGTCTTCGTTGGCACCTGCCCTATCTCTGCTCCAGGTGCCCCCTGCCTGTGTAAAAATGTGGTGTCCTTTGGTACAGGTGTGGACACAATGTGAGGCGAAACCTTGAGGATTTACTACTGCCTCGAAGACAAGCAAAAGAACAAGCAAACAACACATGAGCTTGAACAACCAAACAACATGTTTTCAGGTCCTTTTTTGGACCAAAGCCGGACACTTGCAAAGCCTGGAGCAACACCACTAAACCTGTCCAAGCTAATGGGCACGTTTTCAGAAAACCAAAATACGCAACAAATACACTATATTGAATATAATGATTTCAGGGCCATCCCTGGACCAAGGCAATCCCAAACAATCAAACTGGCAAAACAAAACGAAACCTTTGACCAAAAGGTTCTACACTCACATGCAGTTATTGTTTGGATAAGGCGCATCTTACTTGCTAAGGCTTGCGGTGCTTTCATCTGCAAAAATTAGTTGTGATGCGCACGATACACTAGCAACGGTTGTGAAAGAGAAGTGGGGGTTACAACAGTTTTCATAGGACGATTGGAATTAATTTGAGTTCTCAGAATCAATAGAACACGTAAGCACAGTCAAATCTTCTGAAATGAAAACTTTGATTGTACCCTGTGGTTACATAGACACATACATGCCTTCGTGGACCCCTGATACAAGTACCATGTTTCATGAGTACCCGGCTCGCACATGTACCCCACACATGTACCTCAATGTGTCTGCCGGCCCGGCCCCTCGGAAACATACCAAAACATTTTATTGGTCTTAATTTCGATACCTACATGTTAATGCATATACATATACACTTCTTTTTTGTCGCTCAGAGTTTGTATGACCATACCTTTGGATTATGTATAGAGCACCTGGTAGCATGTCAATGCGTTTGCCTGAAACTTGAGGTGGGGCATATCTCGGGGCTGTGCTGCCGCGTCTTGCATGCATTTAAATGATCACAGCTACATACAGGCCTAAAGCTCTGACCGTGAGCTCTTTTGCTTGTGCCTTGTATCTGGCTCAAACGGGCTTAGACAAGACCCGCAAACTACTACCATTTTGTTGGAGTTCACTCCGGGCACACGCACTGCAAAAGAAAGCGCAGCACAATGTGTTCCTCACTTTCTCCTTCTCACACCTCTCCTTGTTTTCCCTCCCCACATTTTTCCAAATGGACTGAGGGGGATTTTGAGAATACACAACTTTTCAAGACCCCACAACACGCTAGTCTCAAAACCATTCGTTTGAGCATGGACAGCTGGCCGCCGCCATTTGAAGGGCAGGCACGTATGCAGAATTCTTGGGTTAGAAAGCTTGATTTATCTATTGATTGATTGATTGATTGATTGGTTGGTTGGTTGGTTGGTTTGTTGGTTGAATGCTATCAATGGTAACTTGGACACTAATGGTTTCCTATGATGTCCTTTTTTGTGCGCAGGGATTTCAGGAAGTTCGGGGGCATGTTCTTGTTGGTTGGGAAGCTTACTTGGATGTGGAAGCGCTCATGTGCCTTCTACTAGCTTCGAGGGCCTCTTGGCTGATTTCATTCATCTGATGCCGCGTGCCCGTCTTCTTTGTGCTTCAGCCTTTTCTTTTTCTCTCACATTTTTCAATTGTTCCGTTACTGTCCCAGCACTTCCATCAACTTTGAATGTTGTGGATCTCTTCCATAGTTCTTTCCTACAAGAACTTCCTTGAGGTGTGTTGTCTAATCCCGGACATGTTTCTCTTCTTCGTGAAGGTCGTTCATGTATGTCTCAACAGCGTGTGTTTGCTTGATGATGCAGTTCCTGATTCTTGCGCTTTGGACGCTGATGCCCACGATGACAGCAAGAATTCGCAACTCTGTGAAAATTTGCCTCAGAACAGTAGCTTGTACTCAGCTGCAAACACAGCACAGCTCAAGTCCAACTTGACAACCAAGCCAGTCCTTTGACATGCAAGTTCTTTGTCAAACTGTTTGCTAGTTGCTGCTCTGATAGCCACTTGACTCGACGTTCTTAGTCAAGCACTGTCTGATAGCAACTTCAAGAGACAAGCGTGCATCGCTCAACAGCATACGCTTGGAATATAGACTTTAGCCTAGAACTGCGACCCTTAACTTAGCTCTTGGTCAAGCTGCAAGCTTTGAAACCAAGCTCCTGGAATCAAAAGCTAAAACTAAAACCAACGTTACTCTTGCAAAATTCAGCGTGCACACGGAAATTGATTGCACAGGAGAGGCTGCTGCATTTTATCATTGATTCTGATTGCCCAAAAGTATCCTCTCTCACTTATGCCCTGGGACATTGTTGAAAGAAGCATGATGCACAGCTACCAGTGTTACGTTCTTTGAGCAAAAGGAAGCATGCAGTCCCTCGTCTTCTGAACCTTAATCTCTTTGTCAGAGTCGCCGTGACAAAAGGACAATTCAATACCAATATGAATTCTCTCATCGGATTTCGTCCCTGTTCAAGGAGGTCTCAGAGGCATCGAAGCAGCATTTGCTGGCAGCGCTCATTCAGTTGGTGCAAGAAGGCAGAGATGTGGACAAGGCATGCAAGTTTGTTTGGTTCCAAGTAGACGATTTTGACCCATTCAGTTTGCAGTACAAGCAGCGCAACAGAGGATTGCACAAAAGAAGCATGTATCATGCAAAGCATTGAACACTCCGTCATTTGCTTTTCCAATTCTAGGCAGTCGCAAGCTTGGCCCGAATAGGGGCGCGGGGTGACGCACGAGTCATCCATGCTGTGTTGTTGGGCCTTGCTTTTGGTTCGAGAATGCCCAAAGCTCAAAGAAGTTGATGTGAATGTCAGAAGCCAAAGAAACAACAAGACACATTGACAGTGCATAACCCAACATGCGGAGACATTTTCCGATTCTTTGTGCAGGCAGGTTAGAAATGCGCTACGGCGACTAGCTGACAAAGGGGACCCCATCGTGGTGGAGGCGGCTCTTGCTTTGGAAGAAATGATGTATATACAGTACATATATATATATAAAATACATGACACATGATGACGCATCGCTGTTTTGCCACTGATCACAATCTTCAGGCAGTGAGCAGATACTTTGCACACGATGATGGTTCGGTCCGCAGAGAAGCCATTCTGGCTACTCCGCACTTGGTCAGGCCGAGCAGACTGGAAGCTGCGCTGAACGGCAAGCAAAGCACCATTTCATTGGAACTGCACTTCCCTTTACAGTCTTGTGAACAGACGCGCTCTTTTCTCTTGACAAAAAAATGCCTTCGATTCGGTGGTCTCACCGTTTGTTCGTTTGGAATCCTTCGGACTCCCCCTTTCGTCCTTGACGAAAAAGCTGTAGCCTTTTCAGGCAAAATGCCTCGGCTCAAGGCGGTGTAAACTGGCATTTTGCCTTGTAGTACTCCGCTCTCATCTTTTCTTTCGTCCAGCCCCTTCTGGCGTGCTGCTTTTGAAACTTGTTCCAGGGATTCTCGGGCTCTGTCGATGCCCTTGAGCTTGATGGAGGCATGCTCATCGGTCCCTGGAGTGCACCGTGGAGGATCATTGAGGCTCTCTCCACACTAGCGGCTGCTCTGTCAGCAGCTCGGGCGGCCAGTTGAGCGCTCACTGCCGCCTCTTCAGCATCACCCGCGGCCTTAGATGCCGCCTCAGCCACATCCCTGCTTGTTCGGGAACTGGACACGGAGCGGTCTGCTGAGCCCGATTGCCTCTGAGTAGGCATGGATGTAGAGCCATCTGCCGAGCCCGATCGTCTCCTGGTAGGCACGGACGTAGGTCCATCTGCTGGGCCCGATCGCCTCCTTGTAGGCAGGGTCATAGGGCTTCTGCTCGACATAGTGGCTTCATCACTCTGGGCTTGAGGGTTTCGCGTCCTCAAACTTTGCGGTGTTGTCACCAAAACATCAGCCCCTCCATCTTCATCGGCTGACGTTGAACTCTCCTTTTCTTCATCTTCACCGGAGCCCTGCTTCTTCCGAGGCTTGATGGTCACCTGGTGCAACCGCCTCAGACAGCAATGCATTGACGCATAGATCGTGCTGCCAACCCAGATTGCCCCAATCGCAATCAAAATCAGGCCACAGATCCAAAGGGCGTCAACTGTTGAATCCTCCGCCGGACTCCCTTGAGCTTCAGCCGTTCGCACCCGCACACTTCCTGCCAGCAATGCTCGAGCGGCGGCCGCTTGATCATGTACTTGAGGGGGTCGTCGATCAGCTCCATTCTGCTCTTGTAGTAGGAGTTGTCGACGGTCCATCTCAATGACCTTCAAACTGGCTTCCTCTCCCTTCAGGCCCAGTCCTTTGTTTGGACAAGCTGTGTATACTCAGCTTGAATAGCCGGGACCCAATTCTCAAAATCATCCATCACTTCTTTTGCGCTCACTGTTTTGGTGACCAGGAACTCATCCTCCATCTCTTTCTGGCACAGCTGCACCTGATCTTGATGGTTTTGCAACAACTGTTCCTCGGCCTCCAACTTGTGCAGCACAGCTTGGCTTAGCGCCCCACTGTACCAGGCCCGGCCCGGGGGACCCTCCCCACCAGCGTTTGAGGATTTCGAGGATGATCTTGACGGTGTTTCTATGGTCCAGCTGTCACTGCTCCAGTCAGTCGCATCCAGCTGCCTATCATTCGGACCATGAGCATCGAATGCATCTCGGTGCAAACACAGCCATTTTTGGACATATGCACAGGGCCATTTGTGAGCATAGGCACAAGGCTCCCCCTCCATGCCCAGCATGGATAGTTGTGGGAACGACGAGGAATGTCCCCTTCCCATGCCGCCGAACCTGAGGGCTCTTGTTGAAGAGGCAGGTACACATGATCATCATCAGCTTCCGGCTGGTCAGCGCTTGGTATCACCACATCATCCGTGTAGAAATACTTTTGAGTTTCTGTTGACCGCACATAGTAGCTTGTGGAGGTGAACGAACTTTGCAAGGCTGGTCCAAGCACCTGTACTTCATCTCGGATCGTCCTCCACGGTTGGTAGCGATCCTGCCAAGACTTTTTCAAAGCGTAGGCCTTGGCCCCAAACTTCAGCAGCGGTCCAACGGGGACTCCAAGGGATCTGAGCTGTCCTCGAAGCCGGCGTTCGCCGATGTGGATGGCAGCTAAGGGCCACTGGTTGAGATCCAGACCCGTGGTGGTCATGATCGTGCGGACATGTTTTTTGATCATTCCCAGCTCTCCTTCAACCCGGCCATTGGACTTGTAGGAATCACCTGAAGTCAAAGTTGTCACGATGCTTCTGTCCAATGTCCATCGACGAACTGGTGCCGAAATCAGCTCTCTGGCGCGGTCGCAATGGAGTCTGTACAGAGGCAAACCCAGACTCCGAAGCCGAGCATAGATCCTGGCAAGGGCTCGAAGGATGTGTTGAACCCCCCGGCTTGGAAGAACCTCCACGAAGGTCAAGTTTCTGACAGCCACATCTTGCACAGAGGCCACTTCCTTTTGCCAAGCATCGAAAGCAGTGCGACCGGCTCGAACAGCAGCTGGCAGCAGCATCAGCCCCTGCCTGTGACGGGCCGTCAATTTGGTCCTCCCCCGGAATCTCATCCACCTCCTCAGGAATCAGGAAGAAAATCCTCACCCGGGTCCTCTCCGCCTGGCTCCGTTGGGGTGTACTCCTCAAGGTCCAGCGATGGCATGCCCACTTCCGCCCCCGCTTCAACTTTCTCCAGCAGGGACCGACCAGCACCGTCGATGGGGAAGGTGTACACCGCCACCATCATGTACTTGCAGTCATGGCGGCTTTGACCTTGACCAATCACCATCCTCCCTGACAGGTCAACACTCAATGTATAGGCCTCAGGGTGCGTGATCCGCCCATGCGGTTTGCTCCTTGCAGCGGCTTTGACACATTCTTTGCAATCCCTTCTAGCGGGCATATGGTCCTGGAGATAGTGTTGCCTCCAACTTTCCAAAGCAACCTGACCCAAAGGCCGGAGAGCTGTTTCCA